AAAGAGCAAAATCTCTCCTTCCCCTCAGGATTTGAATACTGCAAAGAAATGTGACTTTGCCCTGCCAGCCACCCTATTCTTCCCTTTGTTTATTACAGGCTTAAATAAGATCCTTGAGAAAGCTGTTAGTATTGTCACATTGCATTAAACCAAATCAAACACTTACATGTCTGCAGGGAAATTGCTGGAACTTTTAATGATTTATTAAGAGAAGAGTAACTATTGTGTGTTAACCATACTGGAATGTAGTATTTTGTACTAAGTACAGTATTTAAGATGTACTTAATGCATTTTTGCAGTTTGGCCCAGTTCTGTTTCTATGGGAGATGGAGCCATACAATTCCATTATTTCCTGGCTCTCCCTGTGTTGACTTTGGGATGAATCTATTCATTTTCCCAGTTGATTGCTTGCTTCCTTTTTAGAGTGAGAGGGAAATAAATTTAAAATCTTTTCATAGCCTTGGCTTTTTTGTCAGAATAAAAAAAAAATCTAGGTTTTGCCTCATGGGTTTGACAGCGTGCATATTTATGACAAATGTAGGAATTTTCTATCCCATTAAAGTTTCAACAGATAATTTCAGCAGCCAGTCCTTCAGAACAAAATAAATGCTGTAAGTTTGTAAAGAGTCATTAAAAGCTCTTAAGCCTTTAATAGAATCTGATACCTTTCATTCAGCCTTTAAATATAGCATGGGCTGATTTCCTGGCCAGGTATGTGCAAGAGAGTTTTTCTGGTAAGCCACTTCTTTCAGCAGTAGCTGAATAACAACAAAACAACTGTGATGGTTCAATCCTGGTTAGAGTGTTGCAAAAGAAGGGCAAACAAGTGAAACAGAAGGTCAGAGCACGTGTGCAAGTATTGGCTGGCAAGAATCCCATTGACTTGTATTATAAAATACCCAGTGGATATATTAAAAAAAAATAGGGTAATTGTTTTGAGAGTTTTATCAGCTCTCTGTTGATCTGGGATATTTTTGGCAGCTTCTTATATTCAGTAACCTTCTATAGTGAAATATGAAAAACTAGTGTAATTCAGTGGATATGATGTACAAAAAATCAGTAAAATATGGCATTTTTCTGAAGCTTCTTTGTTATAATCCATATAACAATGGGGAAATATACTATTCCTGTGCAATAGAGGTAAATCCTAATATTTTTAACATAATTTTTCACTATTTTTATTTTAAATCTTGAGATGTTTTGGTTTGGTGAGTAGTGGATTTTACTTTAAAGTATGGACACCTCATATGCTGTGTTCGTGAAATTGCAGAGTGGTAAGGGGCTGGAATGGACCTTAAAGATCATCCAGTCCCAAAACCCCCTGCCATGGACAGGGATACTTTCCCCTAGATCACATTACTCAAGGCCTTCTCCAGGATTTTAACATGGCCAGGGTTGAGGCAATGCTTCATCATAACAAAACACATCAAAAGAAATTATATTATCTGAAAAAAAATAGAATAACAAAGAACTATCATGAGAAAAAAAATCCCAATATTAGATTTGTAGAAAAATCTTTTTCTCAGATCATTTCTTGGAATAGAAATGCCTTAGCAGATAAATATTTAGTCTTTTCAGACTGTAACAAAATTGCAAGTTGCATTTTGATTTGTAGCTGGATATACAGAACTAAAATAGAAATCATAATATCTGGAGGGGTTTCTTTCAAAGCCTGTTTGTTTTATTGCATTTTTTTCATGTAAAATTCTACATAAGCCCACCAGAGACTTTCAGATTATTTATAATACAACGTCGTATTTAATTTGTCAATTTTAAAAAGAGCAGTAGGATCTAGGAAGAAGTAACATGCAAGGAGCATTTGTGTACAAACTGCAATGTTTCTTCAGGCAAAGAGGTCTTATATAGACCGTGCAGGTTTTACCATTGAAAGTACTTTGCTATCATGTGTAACTTCAAATGAGAGGTGATAATACAAATGACTGATTTGAAAGTATTTTCATATTCATAATTAAGCTTTGTTGCCTTTTTCTTTCTCTCACTTACTCTAATATAAGTGTGATGGAGGAAGTTGAACAGACACCTGAGAGAAAGAAATTTTTCCTATTGCAGAGCTGTTCTCTGAGTGTGAGTTTTGATCTGGAGGAAGGTTAGGAAGGCTAGATCTAGAGCAAGCCTTCACCAGAAACAGGACTAAGGAAAGGCTTTGGCTCTGACCTGCACTGGAGCTGTAAAGGGCTGCTGACCCCCTGGTGGGAACTGCTTTTTTTCACAGACAAGAATTCTGGCCCTAGTTCTGGTCTAGTCAAATGGTGCTGAGTTCATGTTGCCCAGGTTCTGAATTCCTTCAGAACAGTTCCTTCCTCCAGGCAGTTCCTTCTGCCCAGGAGGTGAAGGATTCTTCCTGTAGAAGAAATTCCAAGCTCCCTCAGAGTCCATGCTTTGTGTGATGGAGGCAGTTCTGTCTTTGGTGAGGTGGCTCATAAAGCCTGAGAGATATTGCCATGTACCTACACAGCCCCTCAGCTGGGCATCCTCTGTTCATGTTCAAAGCATTTTGCAGCTTGATATAAAACATGTAAATGATGCTCAGCAAATAGGGAACTAAAACTCAGCAGCTGTCTCCTTTGTGCATCCATTTTCAATAATTAATTGGATATCCTGTGACTTTTAATTGTGAGAAGGGTGATGCTAGTTTTACAACTCCTAAATTCAATATGATCAGAACAAAAGCTTTTTTGTTCCTAAATGCAAGACTAGTACAGCTATTCCAAATTATACCAGTATGAAATAAACTATAGAGATGTAAAATTTAATTATAACCATTAGAACTTTATACCAGTTTTTACTGTTGGTATCTCAGATGGCTTACAGACTTCAAGGAATCATTTTTTATGGAGCATTGTTTTTCAAAGGCTATTAGAGCTGTTGAAGAAGTGTGTCCTTGGGCTACAAATTGCAGTATCATCAATGTTTGCATAGAACTGGGAAAGCTTTTTAACAAAGCTTCGTTTTTCTTATGATCAGTACTTTTTTGTAGGTGTGTGTTAGGTTGTCTTCAGAGTCTGTATGAAACAGTGTCTGCAGATCCCCTGGCTGGCTCTGAGGAGTTGTGTCCACAAGTCACTGTAAAATAGATTTAGAATTTTATTATTGATTGCACTTTCACAGTCAAACAATCATGTTACTTCATTAGGTTTATTTTTCACCATCCTATAAATGGATTATCTGTAATGGGACAGCTATGGGCTACTACTGAATGTGGGTTTTGCAAGTTAAGCCTGAGAAGGGTAATTGCCCACTGCACTCAGCCTTTGAAAGGGTTTTGGGAAACCACAGATCTCTTCCTTGCTTGCTGGGGAAGGAAGACATGTGTGAGGCTGTGGAAAATGGCATTGATTATTTTTGGAATTAACAGTGCACAGACAGGAGACAGAAACTGTTATTGTGGAGGAGCTGCAGAATTCCTGACAGGAATTCCTGCTTTTCATGCAGCCTTGTCATGTACCTTTCTGTGTCTGCTCAAGGACTCCTCAGACATTCCTGCAGAGACCAGGGCAGTGTCCTGCTCCTCATGTGACCTCGGGTCACTTCTTTGCTGTCATGTCTTACAGCAGCAAGATGATGACCCACAGGAGCTCATTGGTATTTGGGCTTTTCTATCTGTTTTATCTGCTTTTGTGGTTGTTCTGTCAGTGCTCTGGAAGAGAAATGATCCTGACAAGTGTGTGTGTTGCTTGGCATATTAAGCGTGAAGATTGCGAGTGCTGCTGTAAAGCCAATAGAAATAATTAGCTGTACGTCTCTCTTTGAACTCACATTTTCCCTTAAGCAGGACTGTTCTCTGTGTGGTAGCAGTGATATTGATGCAAGGTCAGCCACTGCTGAGCTCCCAGCTCTGCTTCATCAGCTCCTTGCTGGTTTTTGGCAGGGCAGTGTCCTCCCCCCACACCTGTGCCGTGCAGGCAGTGGCCGAGAACAGGGAACCATTGCACTGCTCAGAGCCCTGACCCATTTTCAGGTTATGCAAGTCCCCAAGGCCCTTCTAACTCAGTGAGATGAATTCCCTTTTAGAAGGGACTGAGGACAAACAAAACACTTTATTGGGGACAGGTTTGGGGACCAGCAGCAGTCAGTGAGCTAGGCCTGGATTTCACATTACACTGTGACAGTTTCAGTGATAAAAGCCAATTAAAACAGAAAACTGTTAGGTATTTTTGAAGGAATTTAATGTAGAATATGTGTTAAATCGCTGTCTAGTGGAGGGATGCTTTCAAAGGCTGTTTCATACTGGGTGAGGATCTGGCTTTCTTTTCATGTTGTCACAGTGCAGGTACCATGCACTGCAAGAAGCAGATGGCTGAGTTCTGCTCAGTGGCTTATTCCTGGCCATGATTTACTCAGTGAGGACCACAGTCAGGTCTGACAGACAGCCTAGGGTTCTCACACCAAAGTCAGTTAACTTTTAGCCTTTTCAGAAGGTTTACTGAAATCGATCTGAAACTGGTACTTTGAGGTTTTGAAGAACACCTGGCATTTTTATTTTGGTCATAAAGATGCTCAGTCTCTGCTTTTTCAGTGAAGTATTTTCACAAGTCTGTTCCTTCCACAGAATTGCACACAATTCCAGCAGCAGCAGCAATGGGAGGTTCATTCCTGAACCTGCTGGCAAACAGAAGGCACTCAGACGTACAAAGCTGCAGAGACACACTTGAAAAGGTTGCTGTGATTTACCTGCAGTCAGACTCTGGTCTCTGTGCTAAATCTGCAGTGTAGGTCATGCCTGTAGAGTACAAGCTCTACAAGCATGAGAAAGCATTTTTTTGTTTGCTTGTTCTAAATTGGTATCAGGTACCTTTGTCTCTCTTGAAGGGAGGGCTTAATTTCCAAGACTTTTGTTTACTTTTGTCCTGCACAGTTACCTCAAATGGATGCTGGCTATTTTCTGATCTGGAGTCAATTCCTGTAACTCTCAAGAGATATTTATTCTATAATTAAATAGCAATACCTTTTTTTTGTGTATTAAATTTATCTTTTTACAGCTATTCAGTGAAAAAATAAGTGGAGCAGAAGGAACAAAGCTAGATGAGGAATTTCAAGAGATGGAAAGGGTAAGAAAAGTCACATTGTGTTGTTCAATATTAAGCTATTGCAGAATCAAAAATATTTCATGTTTCAAGTGATTGAATGGTATTGTAGATTTACCTGGGGGAGGAAACCCTATAATGTGCTTCCAAACAGAAAGATAAAAGGATAAATGCAAATTTGTCCTTGAGCCTTGTCAGCTCAGCCAAGGGAGAAGAGACACCCATAGAGGCTGTTTGAGCAGAGGATCAGGTTCCACTGACACCTCTCGACAATGAAGAGAAATTCCTCCAAGAAGGGGGCAGAGCATCAGGAGGAGCCTTCCCCTGGCTGTGTGGGAGTTTAGAGAAGTCTGTGGTGTTAGTGAGGCATTGTAAATATCACAAAGCCTTTGCATCTGATAAAATTAATGATAACAATCTGACTACGTGGGCCAGATTTTCTCCTGGTAAAAGATTGTATCTTTTAGTTTAAATGTTCACAAGTTTACATGTTCAGAAGTTTACATGAAATTGACATGTTTGCTATCCACAGATGAGTTGTATTGCAAATTAAACAATGTTAGTGCCAGTTTCTGCTTTTACAATTATTATGTGGGGGTTTTTTTTAATTGCCCTTGTCTTTCTATGTATTTTTTAATGTTCATAGTAGACTTACTTTTCTTTTTCAGAAAATTGATATTACTAATAAAGCTGTAACAGAGCTTCTGTCCAAATCCACGGAATACCTTCAGCCAAATCCAGGTAGGATAGGAACAATAGGTGTTGGATTCTCATGAACATTGTTTTATTACTTGGAAATTAATTTTAGGTAAATAAAAGCTAATTAGGTCATCATTGTGAGGTTTCTGTGTGGAGTTCTGCAAAGTTCTTCTAAGCAAGAGGGAGAGGAAGTTGGCTTTGGCTGTGATTGTGTCCTGCATTTGCTGTCTGCAGTATTTCTAATCAAGGAGCTCACAACCAGGACTGTTTAAAGGAATGTGAGTGTCAGTGAATATTTGCATGGAGAAAGGATGCTTTTTTAGTTGGGAATAAAAACTAGTTTCATATGACCCATATTGTTGTATTGAATCTTTTTTCAGCTTTGGACTATGAGGTACTGACAACAGAAAAATCACCAGTCTGAGATGAGCTTTGTGGCTTTGCTTGTGAAAAAATTTATTGCTTTTAATAGATTAGTTTTAAAACTGTTTTTATCACTTTTGAATTTTTTTTTCTTTTTCTATGCCCCTCTTAGCATACAGGGCCAAGCTGGGAATGCTGAACACTATGTCAAAGATCAGAGGACAAGTTAAAGCCACAGGCTACCCCCAGACAGAGGGACTCCTGGGAGACTGCATGATACGGTATGGCAGAGAGCTGGGCGATGAGTCTATGTTTGGTGAGTTGTGCATCTCCTCTGCCAAGATTTCAGATAAAGTCCTTTGCAAAGTGTTACTCACTGACATAACCTGTGTAGCTGGCCACTGCAGGTAAGAGGGAAAGTTAAGTGCAGGGGTCAGGGGATGGTTGATACAGCACAGAAGCAGAATGCTCCTGCACATTTGTCTCTGTTGCAGGTGGGTTTGATGATACTGTTACTGATGCTGACTGATCATCCCTGTTATTAAGCATTTTAGTTTCCAAGTTGCCAAACCTCAAGAGTTTAGGGTGATTCTTAAATGCAGTTTATTTCTTTTAACTTTTATATAAAATGGCTCTACTCAATCTGAGAAATAAACTAAAGGAAAAATTCTTGTAGAAAGAAATAAACAGTAACACTGGATGATTTTTTTAGTAATAACTTGTATACAGTAGGAAGAGAAGTTTTTTTTTCTTCTGATATCTGTTGGGGAAAAAAAACCCCAAAATGTAATTCAGAACAAAAATTTTCTAGTTCCAATTTTGTATAGAGAACAAGCATGACTTGCATTATTTTCTTTTTTATTCTTCAAGGGACTGCAGCAGATACAAAGATACCTATTTGAAATGGCTGTTTTAAAAGACAATTTTTCTGCTTTTACATATCTTGAGATATAAGAGCCTATTCTTTACTACAGGACTTGCACTACTGGATGCTGGTGAGAGCATGAAGCAAATGGCAGAAGTGAAGGACTCTCTTGATATTAATGTCAAACAAAATTTTATTGATCCTCTACAGTTATTGCAGGACAAAGACTTAAAAGAGATTGGGGTAAGTTTTCCAGGGTAGAGCTTCACTTAGTAATAATCAGAGTCAAATCAGCCCTACTTCCCTGAGATATTTTTCTTGAAAGCAATAAGGTAAATAAATTCTGTTGTAATAGATTTTCTGTCTAGCAAAATAGTGACAAAATCTGCTTAGGATGAATGCTGGGCTATTTCTCCCTTGTCTAACTTACTCAATTTGCTATATTGCTTGTACAGTCAGTACAAGCAGAGTGAAGAGAATTATGTTCTTTATTTTTCTTCTGTTTTATTTTAATGAATATTTTTATTAATGCTTATGAACATGTGAGTGGGCTGTGATTTACTGCTAGTGATTATCCTATTTTACCATCTCTGTCAGCCTAAAGCTGTTTATAATGGAAAATGAATATAACTGTTAAAAAAGGCTTTTCAGGGCGAACACAGAATAATCTGAATAGTGTCATAAAATGTTGAAGTGCCATATGCCACTATAGGAAAAAATACAGGATACTAAGGAACACATTTTTAACCTTTAGAGTTGAGTTTTTCAGTGTTTTTATTTGCAATGTGACAATTCAAAGAAATCCAGGCAGTCTTTCTCTGAGTCTGTTGATTCCAATGGATTTGGGTAATAAGCAAGTTAAAACCCTGATGAAATGCAGAAATGGAAGTTATTTTATTTGTTTACACATAAATGAATGTGGAAAGCTTACCAGAAAGATAGCAGTAAAATCTGTAGCTGTCTCCTTTGAAGCATAGCTGTTTTCAGTTGTGTTCTTCTGAACTGATGAAAAGAAATTGTTTGATGTTAGCTTTAATGAGCATTTTGTACTGTCACTTTGAGTCCATTCTCTGAGTCTGTCAGTCCCAGGATTTTTGGCAACAGAGAAGCTTGTGTAGTTTTATCAGATAGAAGTGTCAAGTTGATACATAACAAGGACAGGAAGAATACAAGATTTTTTGGAGCACTGCTTTATGAGGGGAATATAACCCCTTAACTTTTAGTTGTCATATTGCAGATAATTCAAGATGTAAAATTGAATTACATGTAGAATATGGTGACACACAAATATTTAAGTTGGATCCTGCTTCTCTCCACAGCTCAGAGAATCTGTACTGTGGCACATTTAGTGAAGTCCATGAGTTGGATGTCTAAAATAGGCAAATCAAGGCTGCCAGTACCCCAAGTGCTGCTGAAGGGCTCTTTATTTAAAATTTCATTAATTTTTGTGCTGGTGCTGCCTTGGGTCATAGGGAGGGACTGTACAAGTCTCTGAGCCTTGTATTTCCTCAGGTCTGCATATATTTGCATCCATCACTGATATTTCCTGAGATCACAATGTGTTTGTTTGGGCATGTCCCATTTGGTCTTTCTCATAAATGTTGTGTCTCTTTTAGCATCACTTGAAGAAACTGGAAGGGCGCCGCTTGGATTATGATTATAAAAAGAAGCGTTTTGGAAAGATACCTGATGAAGAAGTTAAACAAGCAGTAGAAAAATTTGAAGAGTCAAAGGAGCTGGCTGAAAGAAGCATGTTCAATTTCTTAGAAAATGATGTAAGTCTGTGCTGCATCTTTGTTTGCTTCAGTACATCCTAGAGGGGCAAATGTGTGGGATTGGTTAAAGCCAGTCCAGTCCTTCACAGGAGGTAAGGTCTGGAAGCAGAAACTCTGCCTCTTCCCAATTTTAAATCCCCTGTCAGAGAAGAACATAATACACAGCAGAGAATGGAAAAACTCAAGAATTTCTTCTGGAGATTCAGTGACTCAGACAAGATGGCCACAGAGTAGCCAAGTAGGACTAGCTGAGAGTAAAATGCAGTTTGGTCAGTGAGAGGGTGAAGGTTGGGAAATTGGTGTAGTCGAGACCTGCTGCTGAAAATATAAGCAAGGGCATGTACCCTCTGAGATTTGTGAATTTTAGCTCACTTATAGTCAAAACTTCCCTGCTGATGTGGAGTCTCTGAATGATTTTACCTCAGAAAATCATTACTATTGCTCTTTGGCTCTGCAGAGTCCATAGAGTGAATTTGTGGCTTGGGCTCAGATAGTGGACTTTGGCTCAGAGTCTAAGTCCATCATGAAATTATGTCTAAATAAGGAGCAGCTGTGGCCATTCAGGATAATCCTCTCTTCTGTCCACACACAGAGGAATAGTAGGATGTGCTTTCTCCTGCATAATCATGGAATTTCAGGAAAATAAAGCTGGACCTATTTGGGCCTATTCCACAGTTTTGTCTTCTGTAGATGCAGTATCACAGAAGACACACAAAGTAAAAATTGTGCTGTCTTCTGTGAGCAAACTGCAACAGTGAGGAGCTGTGAAGTGGGAAGATTTAACTGCAAGCAACTTCTCTCTCTATGCATACCCAGTTATAAAGCAGCCTGTAGCTCCTGAACTGTTTGTAAGTGGGACACATTTGTTACAGCAGTGTTTAGTGAAAGGCAGTTAAGCCTCTTGCTGTTTTACCAGTGTAAGTTAATGAGGGCAGCAAAAGCTGGAACATGCTCTTATCAACAATTTCAGCACTGTTCCACTGTAGGCTCTACCAGTTGCCTGGTTGCAGTGGATGTGTGTTTAGCAATTCTGTCTTGCATGGGCAGCTGAGAAATGTTTCAGGTGCTGTTTATCATTAGTCAGAGCACCAAACTAAGGATAAAAGAGTGCAGGAATTCAACTGGTTTAGCTCAGCCACTAGAAAACAGATGAGTTACACATTCTAGTGTAAGTAATTCTGCCTTTGGGAGGGGGCGAACTGAATATCTCTCTGAAGTTTTTTCTGTACCCATTTCCTATTCTTTCTGTTTAAAGAAAACTCTGTGCTCTTCCCCTTCCAGGCTTGTGGTGACCCAGCCTGTCTGTCCTCCCAAAACTTCTCATTCTAGCATTGTTGTCTAACCCCAAATGGTCTCACTGTGTTTGTGGAGATCTTTACTGCAATCACCTCCTTCTGATCCTTTCCAGTTCCCCAAGTGTCTCCCTCCCTTAGTCTTCTTGCCCTGAAGTCTGTTCTCTGAGCTCTGGTTCCCAGCCATCTTGCCAGGTGCCTTTCCCAGGCTCAATCCTGATCCCCACCTTTCTCAGGTTTTTGCACAGCCAGCTCCAGACCTCCCACATTGACACTGTTGCATTCACTTCTTATCAGATCCATCTTCCTTCCATTCCCACACAGCCAGTCCCAGCTTCATCTTCCTAAGCAGCTTTTAGTCCTTCAAGTTTCTCTGGCTGTTTCCCAGTCTCTCTTTCTCTCTCTCTTCTAATCCACATCTCCATATTTCTCCTAGCTCTTAGTTGTGTTGTTTGGACAGTCCTTTATCCATTTTTTCTAACCACACATCCAAACCCCAGGCACTTTGTGTGTTGTCCTCAGCTGTTTATATTGCTCTCTTCTGACACTGATGGGATTGTCTCAGCTGTTGGTTTGATTCTGTGCATTTCATTTCTTTGTGCTGTGTGACAGTGTTTGGCTCTCTTGTAGTCCTGGCAGAATTTTTAATGATCTTTTTAACTGAGTAAAAGCAGACAAAGTATAACACAAAACTGCCATGGGTCCATAAAACATTTGTAGAAAGTTTACTCAGATATTTTCTTATGATCCAATGTCTGAAGACATCATGATGGAATGGAAAGATGTCAGACTTCTTGGGGTCTGTCTTCTTAATGTTGTCTTGAAGAAGACAAATATCTGTTACTGCTCCATACCCCATACAGCTTGAACTTTTCAGCTTGTGTTAGGGGAATGAGATTATTTGTTACTTCATGAATAATAATATTTTGGTTTTTCTTTCTCCTTCACATTCTCCCTTTCCTCATCATTCATATTTTTGAATGATTGGCTAATATGTTTTAAATCCAAGTAGATAAATCATGTTTCATTTATCAGTTTATAAATGCTGCCATCTAGTGAGGTAAGTCCAGATCATTTCAGAACTGCACTTTGTAAACATTGATAATAAACACTAATGGGTCTGAGTCATAAGAGCTGTCACAGTGTAATTTCTTCCAGCATTGATCAGAAAAGCTCCACTTTCACCTGCTGAGGGGTCATGTCCTCTTTAATGTTTTGGGCTTGGGTGTTGACAGACAGCTGGTTTGGAAGTTGAAAGCAGAAGGGATTTGCACATTGTGAAAGGAAATGACTTAAGGACCCAGCCCTGAGTTAGTGAACTTGAAGTTACACCTCAGTTTTGTTCAGTTTCCAGCTGGCAGTTCCTTTGCTAGAATCACATGTGCTCTTTTCCAGTAACCTCTACAAGGTACTGTGGTCTTTTGAGATACCAGGTCTGTTTTAAATGATCTGTTTGTTTATCCTTCTGCTGAATGTACTGCAGAGCCCTTACAACTATTTTCCTCTGTCTTTCAGGTAGAACAAGTCAGCCAGTTGGCTGTGTTTGTAGAAGCAGCACTAGATTACCATAAACAATCCACAGAAATTTTGGAGGATCTGCAGAGCAAGCTGCAAAACCGGTAAGACAGAACCCCTCAGAAAATGCTGAACCTCTTCTGCAGCTGAGCTTCACAATGTTGGAAAGCCACTGAAGCAACAGATCTTGTAGCACCACCTCCCAGATGCACATTTGCTGTGCTTTGTGCCAGACTGAGCTCCATGGCTTTAAACCCCTGCCACCTGGCAGCTCCTTGCTGTGCTGGGAGACTTTAATGTAACACAGGATCTGCCCAGGGAGCTCTGAGTGTGTGCAGAGTCTCCCATCTGTGGTGGTTAATGGGGACAGCCTCCCTTTGTTTAGAGGTTTATTTCAACTTGCATACTTGGAATTGTGTTTTGGAGGATTTGCTTGAAAGTTGGCCTGTTTTTATTGAGATTAAGGGGTATAACAAAATTCTAAAGCAGAGTTAGGAGCAGCCAGCTGGCCAGGAACAGAGCTGTGCTTAACATATGTATGAAAGCCCAGGTACTTTGTGTCAGCCTAAGGAAAGGGAGAGATGCTGCTGTCACTGGTGTGTCACTCAGGTCACCAGAGACCTGATGTCACTGTGGTGTAGGCAGGGTCAGGAGAGCTGCTTGGGGCTTTCAGCTCAGGGTGGCTGTGGGGGCTGTGAGCATTGGCATGAGGACAGCTCTGTCTGCAGACACCCTGTGCCATCCAGCTGGAGGGGCCAGGGGGGCAAGGAGCTCTCAGCTGGGGCACCCACAGCTAGAGGTATTAGACAGTTTTGCTGGCTAAATGCTTTTTCCCTGTATTCCCTAATAAAAAGGCCATGTGTGAGATGCAGTCCCTGGGCCTCTGTCCTGGATGTGTTTCTCCATATGTCATTTGCAGTTGAGCTTTCCAGAGAGCTCATTCCTGCAACTTGTGCTGAACTCAGTGGCAGCTGTGGGTGCTCATCACTTCTCAAACTCAGGCTGTTAAGCTTTATGCCTTTGTCAGCAGGACCAAAGTATTAAATAAATTAGGGACTTGTTGAAATTCAAGTATTGCATGAGAATTGAGCAGCTTTTAGCAAAAACACACACTCCCCCCCAAAAACAAACCAACCAACCAAAAAACCAAACTCAATGCCATAAATTCAAAACACAAACCAATCAAAAGAAGTAAAACCAGAACCAGGAGAATATTTTCTTCACCTTTCAAACAGCAAAGCACTTAACCTGAGCTGAAGTTCTGTAAGTATTTCTTCCTTCTTTCTTCCTAAGTAAATCTCTTGCTGCTCTTCTCTGTGTTACAGGATAAATGTAGCATCCAGTCGGCCTAAGCGGGAATTTAAGCCAAAGCCTGTAATAACTACAACTCTGGAAATTGGTGATAATCAGCAGCACAATGGGATTGCCTATAGTTCTTCCATAAAATCATCAGGTGAGTCTGTCACCATAGAATTAATGTGTCTCTAGATGTTTTGCCAGATTGGTGCTTGAGGTATTTCTTGTATCATGAGAACAATGGATCCATCAGACATCAGTATCGTGCATCTGACTCCAGATTGTTCCCCAGATTTCAAAACAGAGCTGTGAACCAGGGTTCCTCTCAACAGACTCTCACCATCTGAAATTTAGGTGTCGCATTCTCCTTGGTCTTTTAGGTCTCTGAATTGCCACTGAGGGTGGGAGGAGAGAGAGGGAGAGGCACTTGCAGAAAACAGTTCATTTCTTGCAAAGACAGATGCCTACAGTGGGAGTGTTTGATCACAGTCTGGAGTATCTCCAGATGCTAATTTTTCTCCACAGTCTCAGAGCATAAATGATCTTGATCTTGAATATTAGCTATGTAAAATTCAGAGATGACTTGCACCCTTACTGTTTTTAATGTCTTATAGCTTTACTATCCCCTAAATTATGCACCAAAGTATGAACTGAGGTACTTTAGGTACCTTTTGGTGGGGGCTTAGGACCTTATCCTTTGATAAGGCCCTGGTTTCATAAAAAAATGCAACTTTTGAAAGTTGAGTTAGTAACTCATCAAAACAGCTTTTCCTCATCTCATGAATAAAATTATTTTGCCCTTTCTCCTTAATAACTACATTGTATGATGAGATCAGCCCAATTAAAAAACGAAACAAATAAAACCCCCAAACAAACAAAAAACCCCAAACAAAGCCCCAGTGACAATATGCAGAGGAAAGAGAATGAAAAAGACAGAGATTTTTCTACAAACATTATTTGGAAGGAAAATAGAGAAGTAGTAAGCCAAAGGTTCCCTTCTGTACTTAGCATGGCATCTAGGACATTTTCCTGAAGGTTTGTTGTTTGTTTTTTTTCCCTAACTCCAATTTTTTCTTCCCTCCAGTCTTGTTCCTTTTTAAAGGTTGTTGGGAAAGAAAAGAGAGAACTAAAACTGAAAGAATAAAGCTTGGAGCTGTAACTTCATGCTCCTTCCAATGTCTCTAGAATTTCCTTGCACTGTGCTGCAAGAGGAAACCATTATGCAATGCATACTGAAGGGGATTTGCAGCAGTTTGGCAGCATAAATCCACCCAGTGAGATCTGATTCCTCAATTTGTTTGAAGCTCCTTGTGCTGCCTGAATGCTGAGTTTTTGTGTTGCTGTAAATTGTGGGGTGGAGGGAGACAGGGAGACAACCCCCTCTGTGCATTATCTCAGGTTCCTAAGACCTGTGACACAAGGACACATTTCATCCAAAGCACTGGAGGTGTTTGCAGGGATCAGTAACTTCCTTGGTATTTTCACAGCACATCTGGATGAAAGTAGCAAAAACATAGCAACTTCATTAAAAATCACCATAAAATTTTTTGGCCCTATCAACTACTTACCAAGTTATATAGGATTTTTTTTTGCTTGTTTTGCACGTGCAGGGGAGAAAGGAGATTCAGATTCAGCATTTGTATATAAGCCAGTGTGTCAAACTGCATTAGAGTGGTTTATCATTGCCATCCAGCAGTTGTTCCAGGATGTCCTTTAAGGATAATCAATCCTGCCTTTGGAGAAAGTCAGATGATGACTTCTCCAGGTTGCTTCCAGTCCACTTAGTTAAAGAAGAATCTGTTTTAATGAGCTGAAATTCAGTGAAAACTGGAAAATAAATGACCACTGATCACTAAGATAGGGAAGGAGCAGGGCACCTCCATTCACTGACTCCATCCATGGCCTGTTGCACTGTTTGCATCTCACTGAATGAGGGGTTGTCACTTCACTTGCTTCACTTGCTTAGTGCTGTCAGAATGGAAACAAAATAAAACCACCATAGAAGAGATGAAAAGGAGAAATAGGATATATGAGATAATTGTTGCCATACTTACATGCTAATAACATTAGAAAGACCAGGTATGCTGGTTTTTTCCTCCTGAAGGAGCTGTGGATGCTGTGCTTACCTCCCCAGCAGGTACAAATCATCACTGAAATCTCTGTTCATTTTCTTTTGTTTTCCTATTCCTACTCAAACATTGTACATATGGATTTCTCTGAACTGCAGTGGGCTCAATATGCCCTGCTTATAAATGGGAGAACCTTTCTGTCCCTTTTTAAAATCAGAATCATGAAACAGATAAGATTTTTTTTTAATAATTTAGAAATGGGATTGATTTAGAAATGATTTAGAAATGGGAACCAGGCAGTTCTAAGCAAAACTGCTAAATGTCTTAAAGTCTCCACGAGATGGGGAAATAGTATTGTAATCACCTTCTTTTTTAGTAAACTGACCTCCCTATCCTACTCAAAGAAGTACTTTCATGATTCATTTTCCCCACTTCCATATTGACCCTATCAAAATGCAGATCTTTAATTTCTCTGGTACTGTCCCTCAGGGTAAGTAGTGTCTTGGTACTCAGCAAAGCCATGGAGATCTGCAGGCCAGTTCAAAGCAAGATGTGCCACATTCAGCACAACTGCCATGGTACAGTTCTGAGCGTGGAAATGACTTTCCCCATGTTCCACAATATTTTTTCAACTATCAGCTTCTTGGAGCAGAAACACTATTTTCCTTTGTATAGTCTCTAACATGTGAGGAATATTTACTACTTATTACTTACACATATTTGCAGGGCTAGATTCACATAAACTTAATTTTTATGTTGTTGTGAGTTATTTGGCTGCTTTGAGTAAATGCAGATAAAAAATTCTCTATTTCTAATTCATTGTTATCCTCATTAATGAGCTGCAGCTGTGAGCATCATCTGGCTCGTTTTAGAACTCTTTAATTGCTCTATTACATCATGCCTTTCACTCAGTTTGTTTGTCAGGTTTGACTATGATATGAAATATATGGATCTGGTTGCCACATGCTGGAATTTAACATAAGCATCTAAGTGTTTACTCACTTCAGCTATGAGGGAGACTGGGATTAATTATCTTAGCAAGCTTCCAGTTTGTGATTATTAAAGTACAGTCTTGCTACCTGATGTATACAGCATGGTATAGAAGGCAGAGTACATGCAGGTACAGGCAGTAACACCGTCCCTTTGGGGAAAACAAACAAAAAACCCAAACCATCATTGAATGGCTTTTTGGTTTCATCCTGTAACACTCCAGGAATCACAGACAGCTTCTTTCTTACCCTGATTTTGTGCTGTCCAGATCTGAATGGTCTGGAAATTAGTGACAGTTCTTTTTTGACTGTGCAAGGATGTAAACTAGAGAAATAAAGGAGGTGCATATGGAGTCGCAAATTAACATAAACCCTGTTGGCAGAAATAGCAGAGTGCAATTTATTTAGCTAAAACCTCTGCAGCATTTGTGCAAGTAGACAGCAAAAGGCTGGAGTGGTGCCAGCAGTTCTGTGATGTTAAGCAGTGTGTGTTAGGCAGTGCTGCCCCCTTACCTTTGGCAGGGAAGCTTTGTCTCTCTGGATTATACAGTAGCAGCAGCTGCCTGACTCTAATGAAGACTTTGACTGATCCTACAGCCTGGAGTGAAACTGGTTGTGCTGGCTGTGGCCATTATTTAAAAACCTTTCCAGGCTGCCAGATGTTTCTTTGCAGTTCTTTGGAGCTGAAAATGAACCAAATGTGATCCATCTCTGATCAGGTAGCTCCGTATCAGAAATTAACTGGCCTGCAGTAACAAACGAGCCCCATCGGAGCAGCGGGTGAAGGCGAGCGACTCTCAATTACTGCCCTCGCCGCCCTCTGCTGCTGACAGCTCCAGAGAGCTGGTGCCACTCCTACCTGGCAAAGGCTGAAAATAACTCTGCTATTTTTAAACACAAGCAGCCCATTTTTTCTTGGCAACTGGCTCATCATCTCTTTTTCTGCATGGAGTCCTTCAGCAAATGTATGACACCAAGCTTTCACCTGTACCCCAGTGTATTAGAGTAGCTCTAATTTACTTGGTTCTTGTAGGACTTTGTCACTACCCTGAGCCTTCCAGAGGATGAGCCTGACACTGTGATAATGCTGCTTTGGGAAGGTTTACTTAGTCTCTGTTCTCCCTTCTCTTCCATTGTTAGAAATAAAAGCTTTCTTCTGTTGCTATCAAGGGTAAAATATACCCACAAAAGAGAAAAGCAATTCCTACCTTCCAGTTTTAACACTAGATATTGCCCCCAGTTGTATTATTGTCAATTTAAAAGATGCTTTCACCTGTCTGTTTTCTCTGACTGATCACCACTGGTTCTTAGCTGGTTTCCTTTAGAGACTTCTCCTAATTCCTTTATCTAGAAAATCCCTGAGCAGTTACTCTTTAATAGTTCCCTATGTGCTACCATGATTAACAGGTTAAAATGCATTTTTGCCATTTTAGCTGTTATATCTGTATTGCATTACCAGTTGCATGCAGGTTTACTCAGTAAAAAAGGATAGCTGGGAGACTCAAGACTGGAATATTTGAATATTGCTGCAATGTTCCCAATTAGACAACCTAAATAATTTCAATATAAGCACTAGTGTTCTAGAGGTGTCATGGTATAAGGTGTGGTGCTCCTCTTTACAAGGCAGCAGCATTAAGCCTTTTCTCCTGGTCTTCATTTATAAATGCATTTCAAATTACCAGACTTTTACTTGGATACATTACGTATGTTGTTAAAAAATCTGTTATGGCTGAACTACAGTTGAACCATGGACTAGTCCTCAACCACAGAGTTGAGCTTTAGAATTTGAACATTATTATTCTAATAAAAAGTATTCTAATTAGTCATAAATACGAATGTTACATATATATTGGTACCACCAATCCAAACTAATACTCCTCCATAAGAATATCTTAAAAAAAGGTATTTACTGTATTAACAAGTTAACAAGGTTAACTTTTTTTTTAATGATTAAGGGTGATTTTAGGATAAACATTGCAAGTCACGAGAGCAGCCAGATACTGTATCAGAAAACTGTTTTCATCCCTAAAGTAATTTGACAGGTGAGGTGCCTTTGTTTCTACCACAGCCTTTGCCTTAGTTCAGATGGAGGATGTGTAAAATAAAGGAGTGGAGCACAGGAGCTCAGGGAGCAGTAACCCAGAACTGTCACTGCTCAGGTGAAGGAACCTCACTCCTGCCACAGCAGTGTGGTGTGCAAATCCAGGGGTCTGCTCAGGCTGCAGGGCTGTGTTTGTAGGACAGACCAGGAGCCCCTGCCCATGGTAGGTGGTGTTCCCACAGGACCAATGTGCTGCAGTGCCATTTGTTTAAAGGATTCCTTGTCATTTCCCCTGTTGACTTTTCTGCTTCCTCAGCTCCTGCCCTTCTGATTCCTCTGGCAGCTGCTTCACAGAGAGCACATGGGGTTTGACAACTGATTACTCAAACCCTCAGCTGGAGATAAACATCCTTTTGAGAGGGAAGGCAGCTAGGAATGAAAGAGGAGTAGCATCTGAACTTAAGGAACAGTTATGTGTTAAACTTATTATCACTAATCTTGTATTTTATATGCAGAAGCACCAGATGTTAATGAATAAAAAGTAAGGGAAAAGCTGTTGCTGTTGACATGACAGCAGGGCTACATTTGTGACCCCTTGTTTTGTGCTGAGTGGCTGGTGGGATGCTGTGAAGCTCAATTAATGTGCTTGTTTTTTCTGTCACTGGGGCAGGTTCTTCAGTGCACATGGATCAGCCTTGCTGCCAAGCTCTCTATGACTTTGAGCCAGAAAATGAAGGCGAGCTTGGATTTAAGGAAGGGGACATCATAACTCTGACCAATCAGATTGATGAGAATTGGTATGAGGGGATGTTAAATGGAGAGTCTGGCTTCTTCCCCATTAATTATGTTGAAGTGATAGTTCCCTTGCCTCAGTGATCGTGTCATTCGAGCTGTGAACATGATTTCATGACTGAAATGGATTCACAAATGTTCTGTCAGTGTGGCATTCTGTGAAAGCCTTGCTATTTGACTGACTTACTGACTTTTGTATGCGTCTTTTTAAAATGTATTTATTTTATATTCAAAAAAATTTCACCTCCCCTGATTTGTCAACCTGCAAAAAAACCCATACCCAGTTTTTTTGCTTTGTGCCTTGAAGATCACTGTATGAAGTGTTTACTGGTAGCTCACTGTTGCTCCAAAAACGAATTTCCTTGCTATTATTGTATGTGGGTTTTTTTATCTTTGGCTGCAATGATTTTACTATTGAAAACCATTTAAAAAATACTGTTAGTGAAGCTAACTGTAACCAGTTCCTAAGTTACTGATGTCCTTGAGCTGTTTTCATCTATCACATTATAATTTATTGTGAACAAGTTAATTCATCTTTTGCATTGTATGTTGACAAAAGGCAAAGTGGTTGTTGTCAATATTAAGATGATGTTGTACTAAGTACAAGTTCTCAGCATTGAAAATTGGTATAATTTACTGACCAAACTGAATAAATATTTCTGTGGGATAAGAAAAGTGGTTGCTGCTTCTGTACTCATGGTTCTGGCACTTGTTTGAGCAGAAGGCCACTTTTGCTGAATAGATCAGCTTTCAGTGACAAAAACAATGCATGAATAATCTTGCTACTTCTCTATTGCTTGTTTAGCATTTATGTCTGTTAACATCGTTTTCTAGCAGAAGGAACAGAGAGAAGTTCCTTGGAACTAAGTGCAGACTAGTCCTAGTTCCATAGGAGTTGTAGAGAACTCCAGTGAGAGAAAGGGGTGAGTAGCACTGACGCCTACTGCACACAAATGACAAGTCAATACATTTCTATTTTTTATATTTAGTCAAAAAGGATGAAAAGGAGGAGAAAGAAGAATAGGCAGTGATGGAAAGACATGTAATAATTACAAGCATAACAGAAAAGCCTCAAAATTAAGGAAGAAGTCTGGCATCAGAAGTACTTATCCAAATGTAGATAGAATCACTTTGGTTTTGTTTACCATCTCCTGCTTGGCTTAGTAATGTAGTAGTGACCAAACAAAGTGAGCAGCCCTGGAGGAAGATGTAGTCTTTTGCCAGTTGCTCTCTATACAAGACAAATTTATGAGAAGAGAGCTGAATTCTTTACAGGGGAGCTGTCTACTAAAGATTCCTCTTAAGCTCATAGCAGTTCAGCTCTAGTTGAAGTAAGTGATAAACAGGAAAGCATAACGCATTGCTGAAGGTTTCTTCTCTCTGCAGTCCTTAAAATCACCAGTTTTATTACTTCAAAGTCTTTTGAACCACTCAACAGAAATCAATGAACAGACAGACCTTTATTATTTAATCTGCAAATATTTAAATCCAAGACTGCTTTTATATACATGAAAAATATCTTTAATAGTTAAAAAAGTTTTAAGAAATAATGATAAATACAGCAAAGTTAGAGCAGCAGCTATTTCTATTGTTTGAGATGGAACAATAATTTGGATCTGCTAAAATCCAAGTCTTAAACCAGCATCTACTCTTGATGTCTCAGAATTCTTAAATAATATAAGAGTTTAAGCTAGCATAGGAAAACCTCACCTTAGCACCTTCATCCTCACACAAAGCAGGTCTTGAATTTGGAACTGAACACTTTGGCAAGGTAAAAGACAGTCAAAACACTACTCCAGCACTGAGAGAAATGTGCAGGCTCAGCTGCTCCCCTCCCCTCCTGCTCTCAGGTGGAAGTTTACTTCATGTGGCTCAAAGCCCTTCCTTTCCCCCGGGGCCAGCAGGAGGAGAGACAGAGTGACAGCAGTGCCCCTGGGCTGACTGTCCCCTCCTGAGGGTGACAGGACAGCATTCCATGGAGCACGGAGCTGCAGCCTGCATGGAGATTTAGCACATAAAGGCTCCAAGAGCAGCAAGTTTGATGTGTTTTTCACTACAGTTGGGGCTTTCTAGCTTTGATTTTTGACGTAGCATTTGTTTCTCTCCAGCCCCTTAGAAAGCTGTTGGGACCAATCAAACAGTGCTAGCAGCACAGGTCACAGTACCTGCTCTGTCAGAATGAGATGCTTTTTCACATTTTCAGGATACATTTGTCTAAGTTAAGGCTGGCACAGCTCTGCTGTGATACATTGTACCTAGGAATATACAATACTGAAACAGGGACTTCCAGGTGCTAGACTAGAGGAACAGTACATTTAATAACAGGAAGGAATATTTTTGACAACTTGCTTTTAATTCTAAAGTGTTTCACTCTAGGAAGTGATCCAGACCAGTTTTATGTATCTCTGCATCAGGATCTGAGCAGGAAACATTTCAGACCACTCATCACTCTTCAAGACAGTGTTTTACTTCAGACTTGCTCAAGGTGCAAAGGTATGATCGGTCCCATGTTTCCCACTCAGGCTGGAAAAAGAAATTACCTTTGGAGAACTCCATGTCAGAATATTGAGAAAGCTGAGGCAGCCTCATGTTCTTTGTCAAGTATTTAACATCCTTCTAGGGCACGTGTTTAGAAGCTTTGTAAACTCTGTACCCTTCTGTTTCAGCAGGTCACAGAAACCAGATCCTTGTGTAAAAGTAAAAACAACTTCACATGGAGCTTGTACTCTACTGCTCTTTGTATCAGTGAATCCAAGGCCAGGGTCCAGTATCAGAAGGCAGGAGATTCCATCATGTAATGGACAATGCTTCTCACAAAGACGTCAGATGGAATATGTGAGTTCCAAATTCCAGATATGACAGAAGATATCAATACACATACAGTCTGTGTCACCTGGGACTGAGATGTGGTTTCAGATTATTGTCCACATTACATGACAGAACAGCTGGGATCTTCATTTTGCTGCAGAGAGAGAACATGAAAACATTAGGCTAATTAGCATGTGTACAAACTTAATATTTCTTGCTGGTTACCTACTTGAGCCTCATATAGGCAGGTAGGGTTTTTAGCACTTTGTACATTTAGTTACTTTATTAATAAAGCAAAGTGGATTTTTCAAAAGGCAGTACATGAACTGTACTTCACAAGTCTTCAAGTCCATGCAATACATGAGCCTGTGCCTTCCTAAATGAAAGGCTGTCAAACTGCCCATCACTTCCTCTCTTCCCAAGCAGCAGAACCTTAATGGCATGCAGATATGTGCTGCCCTTGTTAGGATGGTAAAAGCAGAAGCAAAACATGGAAACACTGCCTTCCTTTAAAGCACAGCATGCATTCTTCCCATTATTTTACTGCAGGCAACAAGCTAACTTCTGTTTACTAAGCAGCCATTTTAGTACTACCAAGGCAGCAAAAACATATAGGTACTAATATCAAAAGTTTGACAGGAATTCAGCAGACAGGAATGGCATTAAAGTTTGACTGAAAGTATTAGGATTGATTCTTACCATAAATGGCACACAACTGTATTGTAAAGTTGCTGATAAAACAGATTAGAAGTGTTAGGAAAAAAGTTACTTTTGCTTTCCATCACTGATTATTAAACAAGTCATGTAAGTAAATTCAAAAAATGCCTTTTAAAATAAAAAGAAGCCATCCTTGAGGAGAGGCCCTACTCTGAGTATGAAAAGAAGCTTGTATCACTAATAGCCCAAAGGGCAGAACAGCATTATAGACCTCCTCAATAGCCTATTTAACAGGGTCTCACCATCCTTCAGTGAGACTGAAAATATTACAAGAATGTGCATGCAAGTCAGGAGACTGAAAAACATCCTTTAAGCCACTTGGTATTGTAGTAACAGATATTTACCCAGATTTTCTGTTTGAAAGGACAAAAAAAACAAAACAAAAAACCAGCAGGCAGTAACTGCCTGTTAAGGTACATTTTTTTCAGAAAGACAGTACTAAGGTACTTTTAAGTTAATTTTCAGACAGATACACTATGAAAATATCTAGGAAATAATAGTGGGAGTCTTAACCTAGTGCAGTAAGATGTGACCATCCTTGTAACTGTGTAGGATCAGTTTTAGGAAGAGCTGCAGTAGCTCTTATTTGTCAGCAGCAAGGAGAGAGTTTTATCTAAACATCCCCTTGCTCTCTGGCTTTGGAGTTTGTACCATAGTACTGTTTCAGGTCAAGACACAAACCAGCTTGAATCAAGTACAGTCTATAATTGTTTGGTTAGGACCAACTTAAAGCCCTCATATTAGTTGGTTTGGACCATTTCAGCAATTAAAGATAGCTAATAGTATATAAAAAATGCATCAGATTAGACTTGTATTATGGTCAGTCAAAAGGCATTTGAGGTGGCTGGCTAGTCTTGCACAGGATATTACACCATGCAAGTTGGTAGCCAAAAGTTTGTAAATATATTGACCTTAAGTTCACATTGAAATTGTCTTAAAAGCAATCTAGGGACACTGGAGTGTCAAGTCCCTTCATCCCACAGAAGTAGTTAGTGTTTGCATTCTGTTCTTGGGATAACAGCTTTAATTCACAGTCAGATATGTAGATGAAATGGACATTAAAGGTTGTATTTTCAGTGTGTCAATAATAAGATAGCAAATAATTAATGCTACTGTTTGATCATACTCAGAATAAGCAAAACTTCAGTTGCTGCAAAGCCATGCAAGCTACATCCTACATGGGACAAGAGACTGCAGCACTACTGATGAAGCAAGTTTTCTGTGAGGTGACAAGCATGATTCTCACCATCTCACCTGCTTAAGGATGCTCACAGGAACCACTATCATGAAACCAAACAACATTTCTTTTTTCTTCTTCTTTTGGTCTGACATCAAGAAAAACATTAAGAGTTGCAGGATATGAAGAGTACTTGGAGAAGTATTTTCACTTAGTAAGGAAAAGAAATGGCCATTGAATGACTCTGCTGACAGCATATATTTAAACTTCAGGCAGCTTACCTGAGATGAAAACTCTGCTTCACTTCCAGTTATTTCTTCATAATCATCATCTTGCTCACTTTCTTCTTCTCTGGGTACAAGCATTATCTTCCTCTCTGCAAGTTCCTAGAATACAATTGAATTGCCACCAAGACCCCACAGGAATTAAGCACAAACAAGTTTAGCATTAGGACAGTGGAAGCATTTTATTATTTCACTTACCTCACCATCATCTGTGATGAGTGTAACACCAATATTATCTCCAGTTCCCCAAGATTTCTGAGACCTCCAGACCAGATCACTAGGACCTGGGCTAACACCAGCAGCTGCACCCCAGATCTGCAACAGATTTACAGTGACCTTCTGAACAATCTTGTTCTATAGTTAGATTCCAATTCAGCTGAACATATATAATTATTAAGCATTTTAATACCACAGACATCCACTAGGAGAAACTGAAACACTGTAATCCCTGACAAGTTAGTTCTTTTCAGGACTACCAAGAATGGTTGGTAAAGTTTTTCTGGCTGAAGATTGTAAAGCTGCAGAAAAAGCTGTTAACAGCTTCTGTCCAGTGTAGAGGTAGCCCTGCTTGGCCACACAGAGCATTTGGGTCACAGAGCCAAGCTATAGTCACAGACATGCTCAGGGCAGCAACTTGAGTGTGCAAGAGCCTCTCACCTGGAGTCACTCACTGATCTGTTGAACAAACTCCTCCACAGTTTGGAGTAGCAAGTGTAGAGTTCAGCTCTTTGATCACCATCACATGTACTTAGAGTATGATTTTAGAGCTAGTATTTCTCTTAGTACTACAGATCATTGCTGACCTGGAGTAGGCTAAAAGTTTTAGCAGGAGTCTGAGTCTCTACACAACTTGATAAAAGTCACAGGAGTATGGGAAAACCTAAAAAAGCCCTAGAATACAATGATTCTGTTTACAATAGAGCACACTCCAGTCTGGGATGATCCAAGTTCAGTTCAAGCTTTAAAGGAAATGTAATTAGCATTTCAGATCAAGTTGCTTCAAGGATTTTCCCCCTATCTATCGACACATAAATAAGAGCTTTAGTTCTTTAGACACTTGGAGCATCTATTTAGTTTTCCATTTTACAGGAATCTCTACTGACATGTAACATAAGAACAACTCTGAGGAAGTTTTACAAACCCAATACCTACTGTAACTTCTTGGCCTGCCTGAAGAGTGAACCTTGAAGGAAACTTGTAATTCACATCTGCCACACTTCCAATGCGTCGTCTCAACACCCAGCCATGTAGAGATTGATCCTGTGAGACAAGAAATTTCTCTCAGCATTACAGACCAACACCAGATAATTCAAACACAAGGTTCTTTCCAGACTCATGGACCAGTTTTAATCCCACTCATGTAGCATACAAGTATTTGACAATTTTGAGGAAGTAGTTTGCCAACACCTTAAAACTTCATGGGCCATTCTGTATTTCAGGTACTTTAGTAATGGCTAAACTATGAGCCATATGTTTGAAGACCTGATGATGAACTCTAATAGTTCTGGATTTTCAAACTAAACTAGTGGAAGAATTAGCTAATTGGCCAGATAAACCCTCTGCATAGATTAAATATCACCAACTCTATTCAACCTTTTAGCTGTTTTAAGTATTTTCAACTAATGCAAAGCCATCTTGATCCAATTTACTAGAGCACCCTATTTAGTTCATCAAGGGTGAGTGGTACTCCTGGTAGTGCTAGTGTGAATCTGATGACAAACAGCTGAAGGTTTTCAATTTCTGCATAATAGAAGCCCCTGCACCTCTACCCAGAGGCACCTCCCAGACAGCCCTGGGAACAGAGCACCTGCAGTACCAAAAGGTCAGTCTCTAGTCTGTCACTAAGCCAAAGTCATCCCTGAGCACTCATACATTGCAATGCAGACTTGAAATGGGAGTACCTCATTAGAGTGGTTTTTAAGCCTGACAAATTTCCCATCTGCATCAATCTCTTCAATAGATATATTTCCAGTAGCTGAAACATGCTGAATAGTCTTAAGTGCAGTACTATGCTCCCTCTTCTTGGTTTCTTTGATTTTCCTTTTCTTCCCATGCAGGTATCGTCGGCCCTGACTTGCTGCTTGAGTTGCTGTGCTGTGTGAAGATGGACTGGGTGACAGCTTTAGCCTAGAAGGGGGTGAGATAACATTCACCTGAGTGTCTGATGTGCTTTGCTTCTTCTCATACCTACCCTCCCTCTACATCCAAGCCTCACAGCTTCCTACATCCAAGCTTTCCATGGAGTCTTGAATACAAAATTTTACTTTTACTGGCAAGAGTAGCTAAGTGGTTTGTTTCCTTTGGAAGGCAGCCCAGAGTCCAGAGCAGGCTTATATTGATAAGGGAAGACTCACAACTGCACTAAATAGTCCTTTAAAGTCTCAACAGACACAAGCTTTAGTGAAAGGAAGTTTTTGACCCTTCCTAGTATGTATTGAGAATTCATGTTTTCACCATGCACACATAGACAGGAGTTGATCCAAGTTCCCAGCTTCATTCATGGAACTTGAATGCTCTTTATTTCTAAGATGTAGCACAAAACTTTGAGAGAGTTGAGGAATGTTTAATGGACCTTTGAATTTCATCAGCTGGATTTATGACGTAACTTCATCTTACTATACCATGTGGTAGATGTGGGATATAAATGCCATTTACAGAAGATGATTCTTCAATAACTAAATTACTCTATTAATGACATGCTTAATGTTTGTTTGTTCTCCCTCCACATTCTGAAGGATAGAGAGTTAGTGCAGAGGTCTTGAATGAAGCAAGTTCTCATAATGAAGATCTTGTCATAGCCTACCTCTGTTCCTCTCCTTCCAACATCTTTCTGTACGCATTTATTTCCAAGTCTAGAGCCAGTTTCACATCTAAGAGCTGCTCATACTCTTCCAGCTGTGCTTGTGCCTGCTTCTGAGCTTGTGCCATTTCTTCCTCCTTCTCAGCCATACGCCGTCGATGGAGATCACGATCGTAATCCAGCAAATTCTGTAGCTCCTTTATTTTGCTCTCCAAAGCAACATTCTAAAATTAGGGGGAGAGGGGAAAAAAAAAAATCAAACCGTAAGTGAAGATTAGAGAGAAGAGGCCAGTATTTTGAATTGAGAGTATATTAAAATAATTATAAGGTTATACAAATAAAGACAGAACCTGGCTTTGATATTGATTAACTTGAGAAATCAGAGTATCAACTCTCTTCTGTGTTTCCATCAGCTCCTCCCGAGCAGCATTGGCAAACTCACAGTTCCTTGCTGCAGTTAGCTGGGCATTCTCCACCTGTGAATAAGTCACTGTTAGTCCTGAGTTGCACATTATCATGTATTATAAACAAGGAACACCAAGTAATTTTCACCTGTTACACCTGGAAATAGTCATCTTTTACTGAAGTGTGCAGATACCAATAAAGTCCAGGTCAGAAAGTTCTGTAGTGCTTTCCAGGGTGGTTTACACAAGTTTGACATTTAGGTCAGAAAAAGTCAGAAATAATCGGGTAGTGAAAATTTCTGGATTAGGATATTTCAGTTAATAATGTATGAGGACTTTTTATGGATATTAAGTAAATTGATTCTCCAGAAGACCAATGGAGAATATGTTTAGAAGCTGCTTGTCAAAGTGTAGAACTGCAGGATATTGGGTGCACAAGTCAAACTATTATCACTCTTCCCCAAAAGGTCTATTATTAAACAGTTCCTGCATCTTTACAAGCAGCATTGAATTGCTCTACAAATACCTCAATCTTGAGATATCCCAAGAAAGGATAAAGTGCTCCTTCAAGAGGCACTTACAGAATTTTTAGTGGAAACAAACACATGCACCCAAAGGGATTCCCTGAGTCAGCATGCAAGCTGGTGTGTAGGAAAAGTTAGATTTTATTCAAGACTGAAATTGCTTAATACAAACATAACAGACCTTGGTCCTGAATCTGTCAGAAGTCTGAAATACGATCAACTTCTAATCCCTCCCTGTATTTATGCCTGAACCAGTTTTATTTGGGATCAAATGTTTGCAGAAATCCTACTGTCAAATTTGACTGCTTTGAAATTCCATAACAACTTAGCCAAGAAGCTGTGCAGTGAATGCAGGGGCTCCATCTATCAGCTGTCTTTGCCAGCGTGACCTTAATTATGTCAAGGTGCAGAGAATTTCAGTTTTGTTTTACTGTCATCTTTTCCAAACTCACCTTTGCACTGAATGTTCGCTCCATCTCCTCTTTGTAGCCTTGAATTTGTTCTTCATGCTGTTTTCTGAGCCCCTGCAGAGCATCTGAGAGCTTGCTCTCAAATTCTCTTTGACGACCAGATTCTACTTCTGCTATCCTGCTCTCATGGACTCTTTTTGTCTCCTTGAGCTCCTAGAAGAAATTTCTCAGAGGATAAACAAGCCAATACAGTTTGAAACTGGATTTAGTGTGCCAGCTTCACAAATCCATCCCTGTTGAAGCAGATTTATCATTGAGTACACAGTAATTCATCTTTATGCATATCTTATTCATCCATTAAGTCTAGCACATCCACCTTGCTGCCTCACTGTTGTTTTTCCACCTCACTGCCAACATTGCTTAAACTAAAATGTAGTAAATATTTAATTTGCAAGACTAATTCTTTGAAATAGATAGATTCTGTTTGGTTTTTTAATTTAGAACACATGCATATACAGTTCAGTTTCTTTAAGCACTGTTAGTTCACCTATTCTTTTTTTATTCAAAAAGTAATAGCAGTTAGTTAGAAAAATGAGAATTCTCTATCAAACCATACACTTTGAGATTCCTACCAGTAAGAAGGAAGCTGGTTTACATTCATATATCAATTATTCATTTAGTTGTATGTACTGACTTCTCTCACAAGGGTTACCAGACACCTCTGAGAAGTGCTAAAAAATTTGGGAACACAAGTTTCTTAAAGGAGATTTAACTTGTTTTACGTTAGGCTTCAAGTAAACATCTGGAATAATTTAACAGTAACTAATATATGCACTATCACCTACACAAAATAATATATTGTGATTTCAGTTCTCTTTACATGAGCAGCCTAAGAAATTTCTCATATCCCAGATTCCTATTGGTACTATCCTAGTTAACATGAGGCTAAGTACTTTCTTGAGCCTTCCTATTTAGGTGGATGTTATGAGGTGATGGGCTGCCACAGGTTGCTAGTTACCTTTTTAGAGAAAAAAGCAATGTTAAGATGGGCTTTAAGTGCATCCAAGGATCATGGACACCTAAAAAGATGCCTTGTTAATAAGCTAAAACATACATCTTCATGAAGGCGCTTCTGGAACGTCATTTCTTCCTGCAATGTTTTCATATGGTTTTCTAGGTCCACCCTCCTCAACATTTCACTGTGGAGATGCTTTTTAGTATCCTCCAGTGACAGATTCAGCTAGAAAAGACAGACAACAGGGTTATCAAAATTAAGAGGTATTTTTTCAAATTAGGCAGCCAATTTATTACATGTCATTCAACTTAATTACCCCAGCAATGAAAACACACTGGTTGAGTGAATTGGGTTACTTTGTGTACTCTTATGCCAGTGGGATCCAAATATCAGCAACACATAGAATCCTATTTAGTTGTTAGGTAGACTAGATTTCCCTCAAGGCAAATATAGAACAGCTGTTAATCTCGCCAGCTAAATTTGACTCCTCAAAGTAGACTTCTCATGAATCAATTGTACTATCCATATATATTCCTCCCCTTTAAACTGTAATTATTCCAAACTTCTTCCTACTAATATAATTTTTTGACACTTAATCCTCCAAATACAGTCTATGTTGACAAATTAATATACACTTTCAGTATTATACACTTCCCTGATCTGTTAGAGAATGCTACAGGGACTATAGCAGAACATTTCATCTTGCTTTGACTTTGGAACAAGAAACATTACATCCTATAGTCATAGAATTAAAGATACCTACAACAGGTGGAAGTTTTAAGGAAACCACCATCAATAGCATTTGCTGTCAGCAAGGTTTTTCTCCACCTGTCACTGTCATAGTTACCAGGCCTTCTCTGCTTTTAAATATCAATAACTAATTGAGGAAAATGAAGCAAAAACTGCAGGAGGAAAAGCAAAGTTTAGATTCCAACAGCAAGCCTTACACTGAGTACGTGATCCTTTAATTCACGGAGCTCATTCTCCAAAGTCCGGTTCTCATTCAGGGCTGTTGCTAAATCAGCTTCCTTCGCATTTAGCTGGGCATCGAGGTCTCTCACACGAGCCTGGGCCACGTTTAAATCACTTTCTTTTTTGGAATTCCTACAGGAGAGAGTTTTACTCAGTTAAGTGCAGCTAGCATGGGAGAATTTGTCCTCAATGTGTTTCCCTTCAGAGGGGTCCGCGGTTAAAGACAGGAGAGGTTTGTCAGGCTCACGGTGAGAGCAGAAAACAAACCAGACAGGGCCCTCCGACAAGCATCATTTGTTATACCGGAGAGATTCCTGACCCATTTTCCAGCTCGTTCAGAGCGAAGCCCAAGCGGAAGCCAGCTATTTTCCACGGCATTCCCTAGGGGAGAGGGAAGGGACGGCACAGGCCCCCGGCTGCACGGGGAGGGCTGGGCACGCTCAGCGACCGGGGCCGGACAATCCTGCACGGACACCCCCGCAGCAGAGGCGGCCCCAGCCCCCCGGGGAGCGCCTCAGAGCCCCGGGCAGCCCGGGCCGGGCCGTGAGGGCAGCTCGGGTCCCTCACGGGGCGGAGCGCGGCTGCCGGCGGTGCCGCTCCTCCTCCCCGCAGCACACAGGGAGCTTTGTCCCCCGGAGGCCACCGGCCGGCCCGGGGAGCTGCACGGCCGGGGCTCTGCCTCCTGCGGCCCCTCAGCCACCGCCGCGAGGGACTCCGTCCCCTCCCTCACACCGCAGAGCTGGTACAGGGTGAGGGGAGCTTGGCTTTCAGAGCAAATATCCATCATCAAATACCCAGATCATCTCCAGAGCAATACCCAGGCAGTGGAGCCACACGTACCACCTGGACGGCCAACGCCCTTCAGTGGCCATCGGCACCACAGTGGAGAAAGGAGAGAATGGCCCACAACGAGCTCCTGTCAGGGAAGAACACTGCCATAATTCCCCAGACTGCTCCAACTTTTAAAATCCTGCCAGTTGCCTGCCCACTATCCAGAGACAGAGTCCCTGCTCAAAACTTATATTTGAAATTACAAAGAGTAAAGGAAGTCCTCAATTTATATTGCCAACACCAGTTCTGCCAAGTGGCAAAGTTGTGTCAACTCATACAATGGATACAATTCCAGTGGATAACTGAGACCAGTTGGCAAGAGTCCAAAGTAATTCTGCAGGATTGATCAACTTCAGAAAGCTTGAACTGCAAGGAAAGATTGGAAAATACTAAGGGTTGTTTAGTCTAGAGAAGGGAATAGTGACAAGAGACAGAACAATTTTTAAATACATGAAGGACCGCCACATAGAGTTAGGGAATCTGTTTTCCATGCCTATTGCAGGAAAGACAGGAAGCTCCAGGCTTAAATTGCAGGGAGGAATACGTGGGTTAGATGTTAGGGAGAGGAAACTGGCAGTTCACCACTGAAGTACACTGCCTGGGGGGGATATTCTGGAATCTCCATCATCTGGAATTTAAAATAAGGGTTACACAGAATCTGCTGGAAAAGATACAGGTATGGCTGGTTCCAGCACAGGCCTGGGGAATGTGGCTACATCAAGTGCTTGCTCAAGGCCTTTTCTAGCCCTGCTCCTCAGAGGCATTTGTTGACTGTGTTGTGCTAGAAGTTATTTACTCTTTACTCAGACTTTAGGAGAAACATAGCTCTACTAACAGTGAAAAACAAGATAATGTGCTGCAGTTTAAGGTTTCTTTCTTTCCTAGATATTAATTATTTACCTTCCTTTTGGGGTCTCTGCTACCCCTATCAATGTATTACATATGATATTAAGTATGTCAATAACACTACGTAATACTGACTGTTTCATCCTACAATAATATAAATTTCATTCTGCAATCAAAGTGTGTGCAAAAAGAAATTTCATTAGTATCTCTTTTAAGAGTTCACTTTCCAAAGTAAGCTTCTGACAGCCAGGCTCAGGTTTTCTGGATTCTTTCCTGAAAAATACTATTTTCAAAGAACCCTGGAGTGAGACATTTCATCTTTAAGAGCAACAAATTAACAAATCTGACTTTGACAAGAGCATTTACTACCCTTTAATCCAAGTTTGGGGTTCAGAACACCACTTTACACCCATATGCAGCAAGCAGTGACAGTTACAGTACTCTGCCACATTCCATATACCAACCATTACAGAGCTAAGTGTGGCCTACAGACTATCAATTACAAGCAAAAGCTTTAAGGCACTGCCAATCACATTCCTTGTAAATCAGGATGTCACATAGGCTTGAACTGGAGAATTTTAACAATTTTACCAAAAGATATCAGGTGTGTTTGAAACAGACCGTAGTTTGTCAAGGCCAGAGGATGTCAGCAGCAGGTAGAGAATTCATTCTTACAACCTCAGCTGCTACACTGTGTTTGTTCAGCAGCAAAATGCACATCCACATTCCCTGGTGCAGAAAGGAACTTGTCTTGTCTTTCTCTGCTGTGTTATTGCAGTTGCTTTGACCTTCCTGAGGCTCTGAATTCAACCAATATGCTTATCTACAACTCCTCCTCCCCAAACGTCTTTCATCTGCTTCCAGTCACCATTGTTTAAGTAGTAAGAAAAATACCAAATGCAATCAGTTTATTGTTGTCAAAAACCTTGAGTCTCTTAATTAGTGAATAATAAGGGCTAATAGTTAATGTTATTAGGAAATGATCTAGTGACATTTCATTCTATAAGAGTTAAACAGCCCCCAGGTTATTTAAAGGGTGTGTATATATCTAAGGACACGATACCCTCAAAGTTTGTTCCAAGTCATCTGAGACATTTGCAGTTAGGCAGCCCAGATACAACACACATGAATATTAGGACTTCAGTCTAGTCCCTTCAGAAACCAATATGTACTATGTATCGTTTCCCATGGGCTATAAATTTAACCACCTCTAAGACCTGGTTACTGTAAAGGAAAAAACCCAACCCAATAGTCTAGAGAATTGCATATCTGCCAAGTCTAAAGCTTTACAAACAAAGCCAGAGTTATGCAAACACAAAGAGCAGCAGAAAAGTCTTATAACAGGCATTACCCCTCTCCTCACTGTCCACTCAAGTGGCTGGTTAGATTTATGATACAGATCTGTGAGCCAAAACCCAGCATGACAGACACAAGCCCAACAACTATGCAGCTTAAAACAGAAGCTTACAGTAAAAACGTGTTTGATTCCCAACTAGAACAGCTACTTGAGTCTACGAGGAGGCAATACTTCCTCCAGGCATTAAAAGAAGAAGCTGGTGCCTGAATTTGCTCTGATACAGGTTTATAGCAAGATGTAAGGGGACTGTGGACATCCAAATTATTACAAGTCTGTAACTGATATGGGGGTATAACAGGGCATTACAGTAGCGCTAGCAGGCTAGCAGGCTGTATATTTCTATAGAGGAAGCTTATTGGGATGGGACACTTGCTCACACACCTCTTCCTCCTTCTGGAGGATGGGACAGCACTAACATTGCCTTTGTTCAGGCTTGGTGAGCTTAGTCAAGGTGATTATTCCAGCCTCAGGACACACAGCTTACAAGAAAGCCAAGCTAAAACAGCAGGCAGCTCATCTCAGACTTAAGAGCCACTAGGAAAACTTCTGAGCAGAACCAACCTGGACCAGGTAAGCCATTCTGCTCCCAGAAGTATCCTATCTTCTATCTGTATTCCCCCCTGTGCAAAGTCTGAGCTAAACAGCACAAAAAAAATGCACTCTGATCCAAACAAACACTCCTTCCACTGCTCCATAACTCCCCATATAACTGCCATTATCTTCAGTGTTTGTAAACACAGGTGTGGTGCCAAACCCCTGCAGCTATGCATTCATGGCCCAGAAGGGCACCCAGCACTCCACGTTCTGCAGGAGTCCCACGCCCACCCCAGGCAGGTGCTGATGTGACCCCATAGCATCGGGGGTACTCAGCAGCGTCACCCCAGCACACCTCCGGAACAGGCATCAAGGAGTCTCCTAACCCCAGAGCACAACACCTTCGGGATTATCACGCCTGCACAACCTGGACATGAAACATCACCGCGCACTCCTCCCACAACCCACGGGCTGCTGCCAGCAGCATCCCCTTCCCCTGATCCCGCAGGAGCCCCGAAGAGGCGGCTCCCCGCGGTGTCCCCGGGCCGGGAGGCCTGCTCGGGGCCGGAGCACCGACCTGACGTGCAGTTGCCGGTGCTCCTCGCCAATCTTGCCCAGCTCCACCTGCAGCGTGGCCCGCTCGATGGCGATGTCGTCCAGCGCCCGGCGGGCGTCGGCCAGCTCCGTCTCGTAGCGGAGCCGCAGGCAGCCCATCTCCCGGTCGCTGCCCGCCTGGTGCTCGCTCAGCCGCTGCTGCAGCACCGACTTGTCGGCCTCCAGCGCCCGCACCCGCTCGATGTAGGCGGCCAGGCGGTCATTGAGCTGCCGCAGCTCCTCCTTCTCCTGCAGCCGGCTCAGCCGCGCCGGGCTCAGCGAGGACTCGGCCGTGCGGCTGACGGAGCGGCTCCCGCCGGCCGGCGTGGGGGGCAGCGCCGTGGCCATGGCAGCCTCCGCTCCGGGCCCCGCCGCCGCTGCCGGGACCGCCCCGCGCAGGACACCCAGCGCCGCCGCCGCCCCGGTATAAATAGCCTGCAGCTGCCGCCGGCCCGCGCCCAGGGTGGGCAGCTTAAAGGGCTCGGGCTGCGCCCTGAGGCCGCCCCAGCCCAGCCCTGTAGAAAACACTTTGTTTCTTGGTTTTTTTTTTCCTCCCTCAGCCCCCCTCCGCTTTATCTTTCACATGTGCTTTGCTGGATCTTATCAGTCCAATGGAGCTGCCCGGAGAAGGAAAAACCTACCGCAGCCCTGCGTTCTCGCAGGCCGGTGCAAGGGGTCGGGGCGAAACCAAAATCCCAGCTTTAGGAAGATGCATGACAGCTGCAGTGATGCTCACACTCCAGCATGCTGCTGCGTCAGTGCTCTGACTGTTGTGTCTGGGATTTTTTTTTTTTTTTTATTTTTTGCAAATTGTTCAGCTGATGAAAATAACCGTTCTGCTCTCTGTGGGCGTTTTAGCTTTCCTGTCAGCCATCCCACTTATATGTTCTGCTTAAAAGCTGATGGGTGAGCAAAAGGAAGAATGGATGTAGAAAGAGAACCTGCATGAAGACAAATGTGTGAAGCAGTCTGTAAAGCCTTACACTAACTACATTTAATAAAAATCAGTGTTTAGTAAGAACACTGGTTCTTAACAAGGGTTCAACAAAGGTTGCTTCAGCACTCCTCTAATAGTGATGCGAACAGTGATAATTATCAGTTTTCTCCACCAGCTACTTAATTTACCGTTTTTTAGTTCCATTTTTGAGAGCAGATGCTATAGGAAATTCATTAAGTATCAGCATAAAAATCTCTGAACATTACTATAACTGTAAATTGAAGTGTTTGTTGTCGCAGTTACAAGAAATGTCAATTAAGATCTTAGCTTAAGCTGTTATTTGCAATACAGAAAAATAATCTTGGCATTCTCTTAGAGTTCTTTAAGTGTAAAGATGGGTTTTCATGAAGATTGTAGGCATTAATTCAAGCTCCTCTTTATAGGGGGACAGGTAGGTAAAAATAGGAGAACAACATAGTTTGCCCCAAGAGTGTAGCTGGGGAGTTTAGAATAAAGTCACTTATGCCTCTGGATACAAAATGACAGCATAGATGAGGATACAGATGAAAGTGTGAAACCACAACATGGTTTGTTTTTTCTGACCATCTTTACACATTTTCATAAAAACCCAAAACATAATTTCAAGATTCTAAAGCCATGGGAGTGACATAGAGTCCATGTTGCTCCTCTGGTTCTTGTCCGAGCAACACCATCAGGAAATTCTTTCCTGCAGAGCTGTTCCAGCATTTTCTTTTGATATAATGAGTACTTGTTTGTCCTTCATTGCCAATAGAAAGCTCAATTCAAGAAAAATAAAAAGCATGGTTTAAATCTGAACATGTACCTCTAAGACCAAGATGTGTACATCTGAGGGTTTATTTCAGCTTTGAAACCTCAGTCCTCTACAAAGAGCACTGTGATCGTGTGTCATTGCCATGCTTGATCATTGCATGGTACTGGCCAGCTGTTCAAATACATTGTACGGTTTTGGAACAGATGCAGGACAAAGCAAGAAATCTGCTATTCTAAGAATATTTTTCCTTCTCTGCCAAGGCTTTGTAATAATGCAAACAAAAACAGCTGAAAGAAATAGTTCAAAAATAGTCCCAACTAGTTTTATCTTTTGTATTCTTTACCTACTCTCCCTGTGCAAGAACAGAAAGAGGCAACTTTAAAAAAGCATAATGAAAATCTGTGGCTGATTCTTTTCTTTGTGATGCTTTTTTCTGATTTCTTTGATAGTCTGTATTGCTTAGACCACAAATATAGCAGAGGAATTTGTGCAGAGATAAGCCTGTGCCATCCTTTCCTACTGTTTCAAGTTTAAAGATATTAGGAATGTTCCAGGATTAAGAGATTGGGGGGGGGAATGTGGGAAAAGGTACACATCCCAGACTAAATCACAGTGAAAATATTATACAAATAGTCCTTCTACAGAAAAATACGGATATGGGAGATTTAGGTGGTATTGGTAGGTGCCACAAAGTTAGAATAAAAAACATAGTGGATTTTTTTCAAGTATCTTAATAAGCCCTTGATCTTGAGTTGGTGAAATTAGGTGAAAAAAAGAAAACAACAATGAAGTAATACAATAAAAAGCAGGGGAAAAAAAATCTTTCTGTTATTCTTTTCTACAAGTATCTTCTAACTAACTCCAGCCAGGTGTAAGCAATGTGTGTGTGATTGTCCCAAAAATGTTGTCAGGGCTCCTGATGCACTAACAGCCATCATGACCTTGACCAGCCTCAGCTGAGGCTTCTGCCCACTCTGTGCCCAGAGCTGCTGGAGCTCCATTTAAGCTCTGGCCTGGCCTCAAACCCCACCCTTTATGCTCCCTTCCCTTGTGATTTTGCAGAGCTGTGGGCTCTGCTGGCCCATGGACTGATATTCTGGCTTGGTTTGTACCTGCCTGGTTATTGTAACTTTGCCACTCCTTGGATGAAAGTTTATTCGAGTGTGTCTGCTACATACTATGGTAAGGTGAAGTTTCTTGATAGTAATATCTTTTTTTAGAGTTTATTTTTTTGTGACCCAATACAAAATGCTTGAATTCATATCTACTTTTCCAGGGTTAAATGCAATTGTGGCTGTACATAGTAAGCAGTCAGGCTTGACTATTGTGACAATATTGCACTGACAAATATAGGCATAAATGCAGAATCAGCATGAACAAAGGAAAGCTATGTAGCATTTTGGTGTTTTTCTCTGGATATTATTCTGCTCTGTAAGTCATGAGGGTCTTTTCCTAAACACCCACTGGAAACAAATCAAGGTATCACTGGACAGTATAAGACCTTAAGGAGCTGCTATGTATAGCAGTAATACTATTTCAAATGATATTACTCTGAGGGGTTGGACTATATCAATAAATATCCTCCTAAGCAGTCTGTTTACAGAGAGCTGTTAGTGCCTCCCACGTGATCAGAGCTAATGAGGACAAATTGAGTTTTCTTTGCCTCATAATTGTTGCTACAGTACCAGAGTAGGTACTTTTCCCTGAGAAAATTAGAGATCATCCACCAGAAAGGTTAAAGGGCAGTTTCTGTGTCATTGGTGGCAGCACACAGAGATGGGAAAGGCCTTTGAAGAACACATCACTGTGTAAGTGATCCTCCTCTGCAGGACTCCAGCCTGTGTCTCTATTTGCCTGGTTAAATTGAGCAGTACAAGTCAGTTGGCTTATAATGGCTTTTGTCTACTATAGAACAAGCAGCCCTCTATAAGATGGTGACAGGGAAGAAATTAATTTTTTTGTGGTCTTAAAAGATACAGAAGTGAACAATAGGTTTTTGTGGTAGAATATGAAATGTAGAAAATACACCAGAAAAGAGCCTTTTGTGGGTGACACTGGGCAAATTCCTTGCTTAGGCTGTCCTGGTTTCCAGCTGCTAGTGACCAAACTGCTCTCAGCTGCACACTCAGAAGCTGTTGCTCTGTGTGGTGTGTGTTGGTGCTGCTGTGCCCAGCACCTGGCTCACTGTGTGAAGGCGTGTGGTGAAATGTGTGTTCATCTTCTCTTTTCACAGCCTTGCTCTGTGTGTCACTGGTATTCATCCCCATGATGGATAATGCATTTCTCCCAACCTTTAGTTTTTTTATTCTTTCTCCCTGTTTGCTCCTTATGTTCTCTTTCATTTCCACGTTGGTGTGCATTGTGGTGGATGCTCATGTAGTGACATGCATGAGTCTCTTGTGGCACGCAGGCCACCTGCTTTGCTCTTCCCCAGTGAGCCATTACAGCGAGGGCAGGTCCTGCTGACCTTTGTCTGTTGCTCATGACTTGCAGTAAAATTGATTTCCTCAGAGCCCCTGTTTATTCACCAAATATTGCCTCTTCCACATAGCTCTCAGTAACGTCCTGTTTTGCACAATCACAAAAGTGAGGGCCATCACAGAATGAGGAAAACAGGTCACTGTCACTGTTGCATGAAAAGAAAGTGGTAGACAAGCTCAGGATTTCAATATTCATATCTATAGTCTCAGTGGGGATATGTTACTTTGTAAGTTAGAAAGAGTATCTGTTAACACATAGCTATGTGTAGATAAACTGAAGTTTTACCTCTGCAATGAGTTTTTCATTTTGCTTTATCTGCATTCAACCTTTATCAATATAAATTTATATTTTCTAATTATGCCCAATATAATCACCTAAATCCTTTCTAAAATATATTTTGCAAACCCACAAAATGATCATGTAAGTGTATTATAAATTTATGTCAAAATGCTTATTCTAACATTTTAGTTAAGGCTATGAACTGTGAGGTAGGATAAAAAGTAAGTTGGTGCCATTTGAAGGTATGTTTGTTTTGTTCTTACAGTATAGGATCATAAATATGAAAATGAACCACAAATTGTGTTGCTTAAGCACCAAAACGAATTCGTGAGACAAGAAAGGACAAATATTTATTCAAATACTTGAAATAGTGACCATTTGAATATATTGCTTAGGTAATTCTAGAGTCATTTGAACACAAACTGAGAGGAAGACAGTAGTTTTCTTCTACAATGTTTAGATCTATACATAAGCAGTTTTTCCTTTCTGAAAGCCTCAAAAATTTTTTTTCTACTTACGGTTGTGATGGAGCTGTTTCCAAAGCCCAGGGCAAGGATCTACTTGGAAAGCAATGGGTTCCATAACCCCAAGAAATGAAAGACAAGGTGCTGTGGCTGAACTTTGTACCTTTTTACTAATAGAGGCTTTACTCTTGATAGGGTATAACCTACTTGTGAAGGGTGACAGTGTGTGACTGTTCTCTGCCCTGGAGGGCTTGTTATTTCAGAGTAAACAAGAACCCTGTGCACACACAATGCAGGGCCAAAGAACTGATTAGACTGTGTCAGGCTTCTCATTACTCTAGCTACAGGAAATTTAACATTTTGCTTTCATTATTCAATCAGGTGCAGCTCTGTTACTGATAACTTTGAGATGTTGAACCAAAATGAAGTTTTTGCATGGGGCCTCTGCAGGATATTTCCAATTTTGCTATACATTATTCAGAATGCTGATTTATGAGCCAAATGTTGTTCTGCACTGTTTCAATGGATTTTAAATTTGTAGTTTAGCCAAACATATTTTCTCTTGAGTAGTAAAGACTTTTGTTGTGATGAAAGAATGGCCTCCATGAGCATCAGATTTGTGTAGCTGAACTTGGTTTGGGGAAATAATTATATATAAGTGGAATCTGTTGAAGAGGTATGTCTACCTGCATTTCAGGACAAAGATAAATAGAGAAGTGTTGAGTTTCTCTTTAAAATATGAATGTTTTCTATTAATGTTCAAAGAGGGAAATTTGGTGGTTATCATGTGATTTAACAGAGGTTTTTTGTTTGCCAAATCAGAGATTTAATTTCTTTTTGGTTTGGCCCTTTGGCAGCTATATCTTGCAGAATCTTTTTTCTCTGCCACTTCTGCCCACGCTGTTAACTGTAAGTTGAAATTTTCTGTTGCAATGACCATAAATCAAGAAATTACAAACTATTTCATGGTTATGTTTGATAGTGAAGACACATGGTCTTAAGTCTGTGTAAAATGAAGAATAACACCATCATATTTCTAAACATTGTCTTCATTAGAGCCCATGCCAGCTGTGCAGATGGATGACATTGCTAGTATGTGTTCAATGGAATAATAAGTGCAAACATCCATATTTCACAATTTTGTGAACAGTAAAGGCTTTAGAGTTGTCATTTTCCATGTAATTTAAATTATATATATTTTAGACACCAGCCAAAACAAAGCATATGTGGAATACAAAAAATGCTAAAAGCAAGAGACAAATACATTTGAACTGAGTGTTAAAAACATTGCTATAGTTTGTTACTCAAAAATCTTATACTGGCTCTGCTGGGCCAATGTGGCATGAGTGGGAATTAAAAGACTCTGTGGTGACAACTGCTAGGAAGATAATACCTAAAGCACTTGACACTGTAATAGGCAAAGAGCAGAAGTTCTGCCTTGAAGAGTTTGTAATCTGTGCAAGACAGGGTAAGCAAAAGGGAAGTCAAGCATTTTCTTAGAGAATTATGTTTTATTTTAAGCTCAGGTGGTTAATTAGTTTTTGCAGGATTGCTGACAAACTTCTCCAGGTATGAAAATTAGGTGACCAGAACCTTTAATTTGTGGCCCTTTTAACTTCAGGGTGTCTGCTATGGAGCTGCAGGTGCTGTGAATTTTGAAGTGCTTGTTTTCAATCACATCTTGCCTGGACACCTGAGTTTCCATCAGTTTTTGCTTGGCTCAGCAGAAGAGGTTATGAAGACCTCCAACAGGAGTCAAAATTTCAAAGCTTCCAGATTCACTGGAAGTTTAGAGAGAAAAGAGTAAAGTGGCAGGAGTGTGTTGTGAGGCTGAGTGAAGAAATTAAATTGGATATATGAGAACACAAATCAGCATTCAATGAGAATGATATTCACATAGGAAAATGCCCTGTTTTCACATAGGAAAGTGCTTTCTAAACCCCTGTGTAGTTTCTAGTAGTAGGCTAAAGCTATTTTTATGCTTCAAATACTGTTATTTTCTGGGTGCTCATCTTCCTTGCAAAAAGGATTATTTCAATGCAATGTAACAAGACCTATGGATTATGGGGGAGAATGGAATTAACAACACTCAAGTAATTTCAGCATCTGGGGTAGGACCTTCCTGATCTTCACTTTCCAAGGTAGGTACCACAAGGTACTTGTGTTGTTTACTGTAATGCTGCTTTCTGAAATCTCCCTGGGGGGCATGCTTGTGGGTGCTTACCTCTGTTTTCTTATGTGCTGTAAAAATTCAGACATAGTATCTCTAACCTGGGATCAGGATCGCATGAGGGATTAGGCATTGTGTAAACAGCAATCTGGCTTGAGTTGCTGAATCTGATGTGAGCTAATCTAGGCTGCTTTGTACTACACGATTTTTCTACACTTAAATTTATTGCAGATGAACAAATGTTTATAACACTTCTATATATTAATTGTAAGAGAATAGATATTCTAAGTAAGAATGGTGCCAGCTGGGTACATTCCTAAGAAGATGGCAAGTCTTGAGGGTCAGCTTCATCTCCAGGGTTTTGACAAAGTAAAATGTCCTTTCTACATTAGATGATCTAACGGCCAAATTCTGCCTTTAAAATCACCTATGATCAAGTCTGAAGTATATGCTACCTGCATGGGTATATAATTTTGGAAGATAATTTCAGGGTTATGACTGATGTCATAGTGAAAGGACTGTTTAAGTAAGTGTGGCAACTGAAATGGAAAATGGATGGAAAGCCAGGCTTTCCGGGAAGCTGATACACTTTCAGCTGAGCGGTGCTAGAAAAATAGCAAGGTCCTTAGCAGCACTCTTGCCTGGTTAGACAGCCTATTGTCATCATGTACAGACTGGGAAGAACAGCTTGCCTCAGGTGTCCGGGCTGAGACAGACCTGAACCAGCGCAGCCTGTGGGTTCCAGCGGCTCGGAGGAGGCAGCCCGGGCAGCGCTGGTGTCTCCGCGGGGTCCCCGCGATCCCTCGCGCTGCTCCGGGCCGGGCGTGCGGCTCCGCTGCCGGCCCCGGGCTCTGCGGGCTGGTTTCAGCAGAGGGCACTCTGTTCCTAACGATAGAGGAGGCGCCTTCCCGTGCTGGTGAGAAACCTAAACAGATTGGAAAAGTTTCCAGTGCAACATATTTGAACAAACTCTTCATCGGTTATGTTTAGTTCACTGGAGCATATTTTTAACTTCAGTGGCAGGGATCAGAGCCCTTTCTCTACGTGCTGCTCTTAGCGGACTCGACGAAAGCTTGGAATATCAGTGGAAGCCGTAGCGCAAAGGTAGAGGATTTTGGCGTTCCTGTTTAGAAGCTCGAAGCTCAGAGGGAGAACGAGAGCAAAGCTGTTGTACGAGACATATTCGCCAGATTTACAGTAGGAAACCTAAAATTATTGTAGAGGGCAGCATGATTAAAGACCTACTCGGTGTGCGAGCAGATTTGTAGCTGTATAGCGAGAGTTACTTGCAGATGAGACACAGGATGGTTGCGGTTTTGGAAGCTGCTTTGCATCAGATTCGGGGGCTGACTTCACGGTAGCTTTTGCCCCTCGGGGGAAGACGAACCACTTGGTCCCGGGCTGCCGGGGTCTCGGCCCCCGCCATCGGAGCGTCGCCAGTGCCTCCGGGGGGGAGCGGGGGGGACCGGGCTCGCTTGGCCGCCCGCCCGCTCTCGCTGGCCGGGGAGGCAGAGGCTGCGCGGGGGGTGCCGGGCGAGCCGCGGAGCGGGAGCCGGGCCGGGCCGGGCCCCGCGCCGCAGGTGGAGGCGCCTCCGGCCAGGGCCGGGCTGCGGCGGGCGGGCGGGCGGGGGCGGCCCGCTGCCAGCAGCCTGTAGGACCTTGGCTGAGGCGCGGCGGTGGGCTGGAGCCTGGCGTGAGGGAGGGGCCGCCGCCGGCGGGGCAGGATGCTGCATCCCCGGTGCCGTGACAGGCGAGGCTCTCCCGTGCGCCGGCCGTGCCCGGCCCGCTCCCCGCCGCCCTCCCGGCTCCTCGGAGCGCCGCACCAGGTGGGTGAGCCCGGGGCAGGGCAGCCCCGAGTCTCTGCCCCGGGCGGGGTCTCTCGGCAAGGGGAGCGGGGCGGCCGCGGTGCGGGGCGAGGGTCGCTCTGGAGGATCTCCGTGAGGGCACGGCGGAGCGGGCGCTCCGGGAGCGCAGCACCGGCACCTGGGAAATAACACCGGAGCCTGGTGTGCTCGGCCGCTTGGGGCTCTCGGCAATGCCTGGACAAGGGGGAAAAATAACAAGTCTTCTATTATTGTCATAGTTGATACTTTTGAACGACAAAAGCATCCAGGAGTGCTAATGACTTTGGGAGGAAGGGGAACTTTACGATGCTTTTGGAGGGAGGGAATAAAACGCCTCTTTCTGTAAGGAATCTTAATTATGTTTGGTTGAACAGGTGCAAGAGCTGTTTTTGTAGATGGTTTTCCTTTGGGATGCCTGCCTTTTTAGAAAGGAGTACTTTATTTGAAGGAGATGTTTGTATTCACTGTGCGACTTGGCAAACTTGTGGGGTGATGCCTGAGGGGAAGGAGGGCTGATGGTGTGTGTGTGTGTGTGTATTGGGGTGCATAAACTTGCACTGCTTTGAGATCACTCTGCTAGTGTATAGTCTAAGGTAATAAGTGCACTGGCACAAGAAATTAACAGAATTATTAATATTATTACATGATGGGTTTTGGGCAATTTTAAAGTGACAAGCCCATGCTGGCCTTGTAATTGTGATGATCACTAAATTGATGGATTTTTTCCCTGAACTATTATTAAGCCCTGATTGTTTAGTCTCTGAGCTTCCAAAGGCAGTGCAAATGACTGCTGAAATCCCAGGGCTGGGCTTTCATCTTTGAATGGTGAAAGTGCTGGAAAGTACATCAGGAGTTCTATGCTCCTTGGATTTTACATTCGAGAGATCAAGGAAGGAGGGATTCCCAATTTGATCAATTCTCCTACATTCCGGAGATGCCCGAGCCTGTCCGCTGTTGCCAGCTTCCCCGGCCCCTCACTGTGGTGCTTTTCCGTGCCCTAATCGGAGCTGCTCACCCTGCAGGCTGTGCTCATGGCATGCGCTGCTCCTGCCGCTCTGGCCAGCGCAGCGCTGCGGTGTTTGCATTGCGCTGCTTCCAGCGGCCGGCCCAGTTTGCTTTAGTCACTGAAATTCTGGCGGAGCCCACTTGATTTTGTTTGTAACTTGAAACAATTTCTCTCAGCAGAGCCCCAAGGCATGAGGATGGCCAGCCCTAAAGCCGCTGGGCTGTCCTGGGAGATCACTTGGCTTGCTTTTGCTCTCTATGCTCACCTACAGGTAGGTAATGAACTTGTTGCTGTTGTCATTTCTGGTCCTGTATCAGGGAATCTTGCTGCACACTTTGCATTACTGTTTTAAACCAGAAAACTGCTGAAGGAGCTGCTCTGTAATTAAAAGTCTCCCAATGAGAACATTTTCCTTTCACCAAACTTTCCAAGACATTCATGTGGGAAATGAATATTCTCTCTCCTGCTTAATACACTGTAGCTGATTTTACCAAAGGGTGACCAAAGGGAGATCTTGCCAGATGTGTAATGCCATGGGTCTTTCTGGGCAGCACAGCTGTTCTTTACCCCCAGGAGTTTAAGCACCTGACAAATGTTAAGGTGCTGTAAGTGACTAGGGTTATAGAAATACCTTGGTAGAAATATCTAAAGCATTTGGAAATGGGAAGGTGGGGAAGGTGGCCCAAAAAGGTCTTTGCTCCAAGTGTTCAATGAGTACAGGAACCATGGAGGAAAAACCATAGCTGCCAGCTGATCTATTGCCTGACACATGAGCCTAATCAGTTCCAAGAGGTGAGTATTCCAAGAAATATTGTGTGCTGTATGCTGCAGAGATGTGTTGGAGGATGTCATTCCCTATACTGATAGTTCCCACAGCACAACATGTTTCAAGGATTCTTCAGTCTTAAGTACACATAAATCAAATAAATCCTTAGAAAAAGATGACTAAATAAACTGAGATTTTTTTTAAGAATAGCCAGGAACCTTTTTTTTTGAAGTACTGTAGTAGTCTTCAACAAAAAATTAAATTCTTTAAATATATTAAGTGTTGTTGTGTACTGTTTGTATTATTGCAATGCTGAGAAGTGGAGCCTGATGTGCTGGGCAGTATATAAACATACATCCTGAAGAATTTTGAATTGAAGAACAATACAGCAGGGAAAAGGAGTATGAAGACACTGAGGAGCCTGTAGTAGACAGCTGAGTAAGCTGTGATCAGTTTATGGTGGATGTTGAGGTTCAAGGTAGTGGGAATGGGGCTCCCCTGCATCCTCAGTAGCACTGATGAGAGCTGTGAGTGATTTGGCAGGTGATGAACACCTCCTGTCTGTGGGTACGGTTGCAGCTAACCAGTGCACTGGTTACTTGAGTAAAGAACTTGCCATTAAAGTAAAAATTTACATCTGTATTAATTGTGCAGTGAAACACAATGTATTCAACACATGTCTGAGCAGATAGGGCCACAGTGGGATCTGCTTTTTGCCTGCATGTTTCTTATGCAAGGACAAAAATGTTACAGATTTTCTGTGCCTGTTCAGCTTGTGTTTTTGTGAGCAAGCAGTTGAGTGATGCTGTAATAACCAGCCCCATAAAACACTCGGGAAACAGTGCAGGGAGTTCTGTTAATAGTTCTGTTCAAGATAAGAATAGAAGCTCAGAGAAGGGACATGTTAATTTTGATTTTCTGCCTTTTGGTTATGAAGGAACCATTTTTTAAAGTATTTTTCTTGTATTTTTTCTTTCATATTTTTCTTATTGCAGAGCTGGAACCAGTAGTGGCATAGTTTCCTCTTCTCCACAAATGATTTGGCATAGCTTCACTTGTCTCTTTATAATAAAAACAACCCAAACACATTGTAGTAATCAATTGGCTATTGTGAGTAGCTTTATGAACACTTCAATCCAGGTCAAATTTTATGGTCTTGATTGTCCTTTAAAATACTGTAATCTGTTTGGCATATTTGAGTTATTAGCACTTAACCCCAATCTTGTAGGAGGCCTTTTTGCTCCTAAGTTTTAGGTGTTTTATCACAATTTTAGGTACATTAAAGATATTTTATATTATTTAACATAACATTTTTGGTATCCAATAACCATTAATTCTTTAATTGGTTGCTTGGGGCCATACTAAATGGACCACACACAGTCATTTTACCCTAATATTGTACCATAACTTCCACTTCTGTTGTTTTTGGCTATTAAAGTGCTTATGTCTAGAGCTAATCAATTAGAAACAATTGGATGCTGGGCAAGGTCACAAGTCTGTGTCATATCACTTATGTGCAATTGATTAATTTCATCCTGCTTGAGGCAGGTACAGAATAAAGAAAATGACCATTTAAAAAGAATGTGGTGGAAATGTGGTATGAATGTAATGCAAAGAAAACTTTAACATGAGAAGTTGTGAAAAAGAGGTAGCTGTTCCTGAGAAGCAATGGAACTTAACTTTGGTTGTAGGAGTCCTTTCTGATTCTTCACAGCATGGTAATAAGCAGTGAGGTGTTTAGCTGGGCTCCAAAATTATCTCTGCTCTTGCAGATGTGCTGTGTCTCAAATTTGACAAAATTATTTCGTAAATGGCAAATTAGTTGCTGTACTAGTAGGTAAATTAGATTTCCTAGGATAACCCAGGGAATATTTTACCCCTGAGCATTGTTGAGCTGGCTGATTGTTAAATCTGCTCTGTGACCAGGAGCAGTGACATAAATCACTCAGGAAGAGATCCCTTGTGGGTAAGGCTTGGCCATGTTCTTTTGCAAGTACAGAGCTGACCTTTTCTTGTATGTGCCAATATAAATGAAATTAATGGAACTGCATTAATCTAAAGCCAGTGGTAATACAAGCAGATTACATATGTATGTTGTTCTTGAAAACAAACAAGATACTTGTATATCAAATAGTAGCAGCAACATGGAGCAACTCATTGTTTCTAGAGATTTAAATGATGGCTCTATCCAAAGAAGTTACTATGTTCTATTGATTATGTGTATTTGGGAATGTTAACATCCCTAGCATTGGATTTATTGCTAAATATTGTTTAAAAACCTCCTAATTTTCCTCACATTGTAGCAGGAGAGCTATTAATTCTACAGATTTTAGGAGAAGGTTAAGCTAACAATTCAAGTGTCCAAGCCCAGTTCTGCTGTTTTGAAGTGATCTCTTGAGTACACATTGCTTCATATTGGTAATTGGAAGGGCAGGATGTTCAGCCTGGTAACCAAGTCTTTCCTAACCTTGTGATGATATTTTATTACACCATTCAACTAGATGCTTTATATTTGTTATGAAATGTATGTGGGACTGGATATCTTTATAGTCTCACTAATGGATTACTGGCAGGAAGAAACGATGGCTATCAGATTTGTATGGGCAAATATATATCAAGAATTTTACACATGGATTCATTTTAGATTTATTCTCTGGTATGTTGTTTTCAAATCAGGAATAAGCTGATATTTTCTTAGGTTCCTATGGTCTAAATTAAACCCTCTACAAGTCAGTGCATTTTGCCTCCAAAGACCATGGGGTTGGTAATGTGTGCAGAGGGAGTAACAGCAAAGACACCATGTCTGGGTATTTAAGAAGCATTAAGTCTTGGTTTCTATGAAAGGGAAAGTTTCATAGGTCGTAAATTCATTCAATAAACTGTTGGTTGCTTCCATGATTTATGTTCCTGCAATCCCTGCCTGCATTATGGTCTTTTCTAACTATCTGTGATATTTTGGAAATGAAGGATATACATACTGAAAACATTATTGTCTTCAAAATGATTCTGCCATAACCAATCTGCCAAAAACTACCAACATAGTAAATGTCTTTAAGGCTGAGCTTTGCAAGGCCAAAAATCTGATGTCCATTATATGACATAGTGGACTTGGAGACCATCTTCATGGAAAACCTTTGGATTATTGTTTTACAGTCACTGAATATATTGCACACTGATGTCCAGAAAATAGATTATGAGCTACATGCCATACAACATTCTTAAGTCTCCAGTAACTCTGATCAGAAATATCAGGAGAGATTGGCAAATCCTGAGTTAAACCTGAAGCAGTTTTCTGTTTCTGTAGGCAGGTGGCAATTCTGCACCCATCTGGAGTTTTGCCATCAGCCCCCAAAGGCCTGTGGTTTTATTCTTAGTGTGAAGATTGATTTGCTGCTTCTAAAGACAAATAACATATCTGAGACTCTGTACAAGTATTCTGACTTAAAATATTCATTGCTATTGACAAAGTTGCAACTCAGTGACTGCATTACCAGAAAATTTATGCTTAAGTTTCTGAACGTGCTTTAAATTTGACTGATAACGATTGCTCAGCCAGTGCTCATAGAATCTGAACTGCTGTTACCCCTAGTTTACAATCCAATAGTGGAATTGCCTGAAAAGTTGATGTTTCTTGTGACTTGAGGCACAAACTATGTATGAATACTTACTTTTTAAAATGTGTCATAAAAAATTAAAGTCAGCTATGGGAGAGGACCAAGAGTAGAGATCTCATCAAGGAATGCACCCCTTTACTATCTAAGTTATTCATTATGATGATAATTTCTCGTGACGTTACACTGAAAGTTGGACAGAAATTCTCAGATCAGTTGTGTGTAGAGCTGCATGTTTTTGTTTCCAAAACCAGATATCCAAGAGTCTGGTATATTTGAGAAGCCTCAAGGACAAGAATAACTTCTAACAACTGCCAGTGGCTTCTAATTTCTCTTGAAAGAGTAGTCAAGAAATGAAGGAATGGCTCTGGGATGATCTTTGGTTTAGAAGACACTTGAATGCTTAGTCACTGATAATTACTCATTTGGGTCTGCTTGGTGCAGCTGCATCCCTCATATGCCTTACCAAATTGGGGCATAAACAGCACTGAGGTGGCAGTTTTGCACAGTGCACCAAATTCCATTCCTGCCTTTGCATCACAGATTGTAATGTACATGATTGATTGTTCTGATATTAAAGCTCTTACTCTTCATCCAGAATTCAAGATTTAACCATCCAATATAATGCATTTTGCTTTGCAAGAACATACATTTTAAAATCTGAATCCTTTTTGTTTGCTGTTACTACTTCTATAACCTGTAGGTTCATATATTTGTCCTTATGTTCAGCTTTTGTGCCTAAAGATTTTCTTTAAACATTTCTCCATGCTTTCCTGAATCCCCAGGAGCTCCAGTGTGGCTTGCAATCAAGTAGTAGAGTGAATTCAGTGATAGTGGAAGCAGATTCACAATCATGCATGTATAGCTGTTGGCATTCTAAGTCTATACAAGAAA